GTTGCCTCCTCGCTGCCGTCAGCGGGTGGGATGATAGCTTCTCGAGCCTGCGTTTCGCGCAGCCGCGCTTCGAAGCTCGATACCTGGGACGCTTCAACTAGAGCTTGACGAGGTGATAAGCGAGAGGATGATGGCGGGCTTTCGATAGATATAGGCTGGCTTAGAGTACCGCGGGGCACGCCCCGAGACCGCTTCGGTGGGGTAGCAACAATAGCTTGGACGCGTCTTTTTGGTGGCATGCTTGCAATCAAGAAATTGGTAAGATAAGAAGATATATATAATAAATTAACACGTATAGTATTAGAGATAGAGGTAAGAGTTAACGTTACTATAGATTAGTAGCCTACGTAAAGGAGTTCATAGTTATTCTTCTTTTTTTACGCACGGGCGTATCAAGCTCATCAAGCTCTATCAAGCTCAGCTTGATAAGCTTAACGAGCTTGATACAGCTTGATACAGCTTGATGAGCTTGGCTTGACTCAGCTTAACCGTTGAGTCAATCCAGCTTGATTGATGAGCTTGACTCAGCTTGATTGTTGACATCTCTGCTAAGTAGACGTGGCAATTTGGAGGTAGCACAAGAGAGTCCTAGTAGTAACCTTTGTCAGAAGAGGGATCGCTAGAGGTTTATTATATAAATTCTAGGCAGTTAAATACTCGTAACAGGAGAAGGGTAGTAAGCCTAGCCTCTAGAGCGACAGGTTCTAATACTAAGTTTACAAGCTACCTTTTTCAGTCTAATATGCCTGCTACCTTATGTCGAAATCTTATCCTTGGCATTAGTATGTAGTAACAATATCCCTGTGGTTTTCAGATATCTAGACCTGTAATGTTTCAAACTCAAATCAATCACTCTGGATAGACGTTATGCCGTATACTGATAGACTTTCGTATTAGGATTCTACTGATACGTTCATAGCAGGGATATTCTGATAAACTTCATCATCAGTTGACTGGATACTTTTTAAATACGAGGGAGCAAATCTGACATCATCGCGGCAATTTGGGTTTCGTTTGACCCCGCAGAGTGAGGGCAATATCGTACTCAATAATGAATGGCATCAATATTGGTCAAGAGAAGAACCAATCCAGTTATAAAGCAGGACAAGACCTTTATTCCAATACTATCAAACCCCATTTTACCCATCAAAGATCCCTGGAGCACAGTTCTACAGACCCTTGGATTGCAAATATCTGGGTTACTCCTTCCCTACATTCAGGAGTGCACAACCTGAGCATCTAGCTCGAGTGTCGAGATGTTTATCGCTGGCGTATGGAAACACTATTAACAGTTGTATTTCTGCTGATCAAAGCAGATCTCATGGCTATGGGCCACACTTTTCTTCCTTGGAGTCTTCTCACTGCCGCTTGATGCACAGAATGAGGAACCAATTGGACAGATTTTAGCTCCGCGGGGTGTACACGACTGCGTTTGGTACTTTAACACACAGCCACCGCGTGTTAACAGCTTTAACCGCCTCGAAATCACTTCTTTTATCGCTCGCGACATAAACCAGCCTATGCTAGTTATACAAAATGGAGTATCGATATATGCCCACCTTACAGTTTCCCCAAACCCTGCTGGCGCAGGCTTCCATAATGTACAGATAAGATGGGAAAACCGACTCTATACATCATACACGGTTCTACTTGAAAGATTTCGTCGGGACGCACCACCGTCTCAGGGTGGACAGCCAGACAACATCGACGAAGCCATACTTCCTGCAGCTAATCCCGGCGTTATCTTTGATAGTTACGGATCTGTCACTCAAACGCATTGCGTTGATACCAATAGATACAGATACGTAAGTTCATTGCATTTTTTACCTCCATTTAGGTACTGCGGTAAACTAACATTTAGATGATACTAGTTCTTACAAATTGGAGGGCCGACAGGCTAAGCTAATAGTAGCCTATTTTTTTATAACATGAGCTAGGATAGGCACAGAAAGATTAAAGAGCTCTACCTAAGCTTTGGGTTTGGTAAAAGGAATCAATAGTAGATAAAAACTCTGTGTTGCGATACTCCTATCAAGTGGCCACCTTCGGAGACCTATTGGGTACTCCTTAGGCTGTTAGGGCCGTCAGCCTAGGTACAGGGTATAGTAGTAAATAGGTCCTTACCTTGGAATATATTTTTCTATAATAACTCTATTGTAGATGAGTTGATAGATTGATACGTGGGTGGACCAGATTAAAATTGAATTAACTATGTTCCTTCCGCTATTCTAAGGGGCCAAATCTGTCAAAATATATAGATATACTAAGCGTCAGATATCTAGTAGCTATTCACTGCATTTCTAACCTACTAGTACATAGCCCCTTGGATCGTAAAGAGCTTAACATTGGTGTAGTAAGATCCGTCAAACCCTACGTTAATATGCATCTCTGCCTAGACTTTGTTCCCATTCTTCAAATAGAATGAGATTGTTCCATGTGCCAGGGGCTCAGCCGCTTGCTCGATGGCCTCTTGCATACATGTCTACCCTCGATTCCCTTCCCACTCTCATCTAGCTCAAATTCACCACACGTGAAATTCTCGCCTTCTACTACAATGAGCCCCGCCGCTCCGAAGCGCATCGTTCTTAAATGTCCCGAGCGACATTGGAAGACTCAGAATGAGATGCTCAAAGCGTTTTTCGATTTATAAGGTGTTGATCTGGACAAGGATCACTTTACACATATATTGTTCGAGCCGTCTTCACCTTCCTATTTGTTCTTTGTCATCGATGTCCACTGCAAAACAATCCCAGATATCAACCTCAGCCAGCTGATACTTGAAATTTTCAAAGTTTCCAAGAAGGAGCCATTGTACGTTGGGTTTCTCCTGACCTTAAGTATTACGCTGGCTAACTCAACTTTAATCTAGTACATTCGTGGATCTTGGGGATGTAGGCCGCAAGCAGGCTCGACCGCGATCTCTAGATACGCCTTGGGGAACGGACGAACGTACCGGTATTAGTCTGACGAATTAACTGGCGTGTTCCGTTCACAAACAGGACAATCTCGAGCTATGTTCGTATCCTGAATGTCGTGAAAAAGCGGTAAGTCCTTTTGATGTCCGGGGTGTAGGGCGCATTGTTGTTTTGTGTTGCATTTCGACATTGATTTATATGGTGGCGGATCTCGTGTTTGGGATTACGTTGACAAGATGTGTAGGCCCTGCAAGCCCATTCACACAGTGTACTCAAGAGATAATGGAAGTAACAGGAGACGGTTGATGCCTGACAAAATAATGCAGGGCAAGCTGGATGTATTTACGGAGTTATTGCACAGCCTCGTCACATGACACATCACGTGCCTTACATCTGACGAACACGCGCGAACCAAGATGCGCTTAAGTCGCCTCTTGTGCAACCTTTTTCGCCTCTTTCGCAAGGTCTTTTGTACAGTAGCACGCTCACTGAGAGTTTGGTAATTTTTTAAAGCTTACCTTCCTGGTGCGCCAACACATCAGTCAGACACGGATGGCCCTTGGCGACCACAACGATGCAGCTGTTCACTGACAGCACTACTAGGCACTCGAGGTATTTCCATTCACATGCGCAGGCAGCAGGGGTTAGTATCCAGAGTGGCTTATCGTGATGCTGGACATACAATCCACGACGCTGAAGCTGCCGTGTTACAGCATGGCCAACGTGGTGTTGCTTGCGAGCGTGTTCGGCTGGTACCGGTACCAGGCAAAGCCCCACTGGTCAGAGAGCCATGGCCGTCGCAGTTGTGCCGTGTGAGACGGGGTTTTCCTAGCAGCGGAGAGTTCAGTGAACGAGAAGCGGTGTGGATAACAGCCAAGAACGACGATAGCCTCCCACTAGCTGCTCCGTCTGTTTCCATCTCTACTTCTGGCCGAGTAGAAAGTGCGCAGAATGAAGGGCAGCGAACGCGCGGGCTGAGGAAGCGCGGAAAGCATCCGGGGCGTCGTTGCAGAGGGTGGCTTGGTGAGGTTGCTCGTGCTCGAAGCTGGCTGGCTGATAGCTGGTGGGGAGAAATTCCCGAGCAAGAGCTCGGACGCAGCATCAAGTGGGTCTGGCCAGCGACTAGTGCTAGCGTATAGTCACCTGTTCACGTCTTTGCACTTCAACACCTCGACGTCTTCGAATCGACATACATGGAACAAGACAAGGCCAGGGACTGCGCACCGTAGCAACCGCCGGACGACTTTACTGCTACCGCCACTCTTGCTCTATTGCATTGCTGCGGCAAGTCGCGCCGCTAGACCACCACGTTGCCTGAACCATCTGCGCTCTCGCTTTTATCTGCGAAAGGCTTTGCGTCTTCTCGATTGATGGCCCGCGCTACGCCGATCCAGAACCGGCCATACCGTTCGCACAAAGTACCGGCCTGTACACGATGTCGTTCGCGAAAGATCCGCTGTCATATCGACATTCCCGGAGAGCCCTGTCTGTCTTGCCGGGAAAGACGGCTCAAGTGCCAATATGTCGAGGGCTCAAACACCAGCTCGCCTACTGAAGAAGGCTCCGACCGGAGGCCTTCAAAGCGAAGGCGACACAGCGAGCCAGAGGACGGGCTTTCTCGGCCTCGCTCCGCCCCGATCCTGCATAAGAATGTCAACAATCCGTCGGCATCCATAATGCTTGCACCGCATTTTGCCGAAGACATTGACATCTTCAATCGCCACATCTCGCAGCATCGGAAGGCTGGTGGCGAGGTAGAGCATTCCAACTACCAGACGTTGTTGCACGATGCCAAAGACCCCGTTGTCTACCTCACAGTGCCAAGGTTTCGGACTGGCCTCCCACCCAACAGCGGATGTGGAAGGGAGCAAGTGGAAATCGTCGAGCAGATCATGGGGCCGTTCAAGCGCGAGGTGGTTGAGCTGTACTTCAGTGAGATCCACTACCACTTTCCCATCCTGGATGACGATATGTGTGAAACTTTACGGACACATCAATACGCCAGAGTACCAAACAATTTGATGTGCGTCATTTATGCACTCGCATCGCCACACTGGCCCAAATCAGACACTCTCAAGATGCACCCTAAACCAAATTCGTATTACGTCTGGAACAAGGCCATTTCAGCGACCCTAGAAGATTTCCTCAGCCCGGGAATGTCCACCATACAGGCCGCGGTGCTTGACCAGGTTGGCCGCCCTTCGGTATCCATTATCGGCAATATCACTCTCTGCGGACGTACTGTATCACTGGCCCAGACATTTGGACTTCATAGGGATCCGTCAAAATGGTCCATCACGGAGAACGAAAAGTCGCTTCGAATACGACTCTGGTGGTGTGTTCTTATTACCGACCAGTGGTCTAGTGTGGCATATGGCGCGCCTCCTTACTTATCGAAAGGCTACTACGATGTTCCCAGACCGACAGTCACTTCACTCATCGGGAGTAGGGCGAGCCCACATCAGAAGCAGGCCACAACCTGTTTTGTGCATCTCTGTGGACTGACCGAGCTACTTGCGGAAATAATACCGTTTGTTTATCAAATCAAACCAGACCGACTGCAACTTGCCCGTGAGATCGATCGGTTCAAATTGGAATTAAACGGCTTGGAGGCGCAACTTCCCGAGTGGCTTCCTATGCCAAACCGCTCAGGGACGGCTATGCTCTGGCTTTCATTCCTCTCAATTAGGCTGGTCCTGGCCCGCGTCATCTTCCGCGCAGCAGTTCTTGATGGAGATGGCAGCATTGGCCGAAACCGAATGCATCAACTACGCAACGCGTCTTCAGCAGTTCTCGAGTTTATATTGACCATGGGAGAAATTCAGTTCTTGGACTTTTGGCTGCCATATGCAACGCACTTATTGGTGCACGCCATTACCGTCTCGCTCCGATGCACTGTCGAGACACAGGACCCGGAAATACGCAACACGTCTGTCGCGCGCCTCGAACGCGTCATTGCTCACATTCAATATGCGCGGGACAATTATGACTGGGATATTGCAAATTACTGTTTAGAGCGGTGTGCTGATCCAGTCTCAAAGATTGCTTCGCTGAACTCGAGAGAGGCACTACAGCCTTCGGAGACAGAGCCCACAACCGTTGTCGCAAATGGAAATGGCACCGAAATGCATACGATGCCTAATTTTGACGACGCATCCTTCCTGCTTTCGGACATTTTGGATCCCAACGCATTCGATTTTTCCTGGGATGCGCTATGGGATACACCGTCCGGAATGACGAATTTTTCAATTTGAGGGCCTTGTTGCATATTCATTCTCCTGCCTCCAGGCCATAACAATGGTTGGCAATAGGTGCTCTTCAATCAGCATCCCTGATCCTTCTCATGGTTCACTTTTCAATCGCAACGTACATCCACATGCATGTACACTCGTACCCCGCTCTAGCTAGCGTCATCATTGCAAATGATTACAGCATCGCTTTGCATCAACATGCATGGCCTGCCACTAGCACCAGTCATCAAGCATATCGCGAAACTACGCATCCACAACTTTGGGCAAGCGCGTCGCTATTTCCAGCCTTGGACCCGGGGTTGCCGCTGCGATAAACATTGCAAAAATAACTGGGAAATGGAAGGAAGACATTTATGCAACGGTCAGCCCAGTTATCCGCCCTGCGCAAATGTTGATTCTACATCAACCACACATCCGATACGAACAATGTCTTGTTTACAAAGCAAGTCAGCAAAGCTAATGTGACGGCGTAGCCCGGACTCTAAATATTCAGAATTTAACATTCTGCGCACTGTACATTGTAATTATACAGGACCGTTGGGTCCTTTTTTTTAGTATGGTTGATATTATAGATTGAACCCTTGAATGAGTAAAGCGAGTTCGAAAAAAACACATGCATCATTTCCAACTAGCAGACATACAGTCACAGTTTGCACTGGAAAGACAGCTCATTCACTCCGAGTGCACAGGGGCAGATATTGAGGTGCTGGCATTGTTTGAGGATGAGTATACTCACGTGATAGGCTTGTCACGTGATTTCGTCTTCCGATCGGGGTCTGCTACGCTGAGACGGTTGTCGGGGTCTCGGAGATGGTGGCGTGTCGTCTAACCTTTGGAATCGAAAAATCGGAGTCTTCACACGACCACGAAATACCGTCGGCGACCTTTTGCCCTCCACATATAATATATATGATGCTCTTCGCTGACGAGGCCGACAGTTGCATGAGACAATGGCGTCGCATATCGGAGAGCATGCCATGTCGCGGCGTAGGAACACGAGAAAGGAAGAAAGTCGGCGATCTAACAGTAATATGATTGGTCAGCTGACCTTTATCCCCGATCAATGAGTGAGCATGGCACTGGCTTTCGTTACGTGTATCGCTCCTGGGAAGCTTCTCCGACTATTAACCGCAAGGGTCATGCATATTGGACCTGCGCGAATAGACTCGTGTCCTACTTCGCCGTTCTGTTCCGGACTTGGATATTATAAGAGCACCGCGCGCATTCATTTTTACCAAATCGACGGTTTCGGGGTTCCTTGTATGCTCGACGTGCTGTGTAAGCTGAGGGTTGGTCCGATGTCGTGATCCGTTAGTGTCTCACCCCATTGGTCGTCTCCCTAGCCTCGACAGCGACCCACATCAAAGTCTGTAATCAGTCCACCAAATTGGGGAGGGGTCCTTGATCTAAACCTCTCACCCCTCGTCTATCCTTACGATCGTTTTTGTTTTTCCCCCTTCTCTTACGGAAACAAGAAAAAAGACCGACCGGGGAAGATTCCTGGTACACATCATGCCGGCCATGCTCCGCACCCGCGTTCCTCAACTAGCGGCCACCCACTCCCTTACCAAGTCTTCCATTCGCAGCCTGGCAACAGTCTCGCCAGTGCAGACGGCTACTCGCCAACACGAGATTGTCGTGATTGGCGGTGGCTCAGCCGGCATCGCGCTCTCTCACCAACTGCTCCGCAAAGCAAACCTCTCTCAGGATGACATTGCCATTGTAGACCCCGCACAATGGCACAACTACCAACCGGGCTGGACCCTCGTTGGCGGCGGCCTGAAGAAAAAAGAAGACCTCCGCCGCCCCATGAAGGACCTGATGAACCCCAAATTCAAGTTCTACAACACGGCCGTCGGAAGCCTTCACCCGGAGGAAAACTACATCACCACGACCAACGGCGACAAGCTTTCGTACGAGCAGCTTGTCGTTGTGCCTGGAATCACGCTAGACTACGCATCTGTGTCGGGCCTCAAGGAGGCGCTAGAAGAGAAGGACTCGATGGTCTCTACGATTTACGACTATGCCTACTGCGACAAGGCATTTAGCAACGTGCAAAAGTTCAAAAAGGGAGGCGCCGTGTTTACCCAGCCCGCGGGCGTCGTCAAGTGTGCAGGCGCGCCGCAAAAAATCATGTGGCTTGCCTTGGATTACTGGAAGAACGCCGGGCTATACAATCCCACGTCGTCATCGCCAATTAACATTGCCTTTGCCACGGGCCTGCCCAAGATGTTCGGTGTGGACAAGTACGTCGAAAATCATCAGTACTATCCGTACATGTCATTTGCTAACGCCAGCACAACAGGTACAGCCAAACGCTGGAAAAACTGCGCGTCGAGCGCGGCGTCGACGGCCTCTTCCAGCACGATCTGGCCTCCATCTCAGGCAACACAGCTACATTTAACGTGGCCAACCAAAAGGACCCCGTCAAGCGGCACTTTGACTTTCTGCACGTAGCGCCCAAGAACGTGCCGTGGCCCGTCATCAAGAACAGCGCGCTAGCCAACGAAGCGGGCTACGTCGCCGTGTCGGATACCACGACGCAGCACACCAAGTACGCCAACGTATGGTCCATCGGCGACGCATCCTCACTGCCCACAAGCAAGACGGTCGCAGCAATTACCTCGCAGCTGCCCGTGCTGGTGTCCAACATGCTGAGCCACATGCAGGGCAAGCCGCTCGACGCCCTCTACGACGGCTACACGTCGTGCCCGCTGCTGACGGGCCGAAACGAGGTTCTGCTCGCCGAATTCAAGTACGGCGGCGTCCCCAAAGAAACTTTCAACGCCCTGCTGGGCATCGACCAGGGCGTCCCGCGCAAGCCGTTTTACTGGTTGAAAAAGGAGTTTTTCCCCTGGGTCTACAATCGCTTCCACGTCAAGGGCGAGTGGGCGGGTCCAAAGGGGCTGGCGAGATGAGGCTGTTGCGTGTGTAAAACATATAATGGGGTGGGGGGGGGGGGGTGACGAGGAAGAGAGAAGAAAAAAAGTGTGAGTTTTTAAGATTTTTTTTTAGCTTTGTTAAGTAGCGGAAATTGCGTAATATACCCTGTTTTGGTGTTGCCTACAAGTTACCTGGGATATCTCCTTGCACTTCTCTCTCTCTCTCTCTCACACACACACACACACACGCATCATGGCATGACCCCGCTACAGCTGAACCCATGACTACGAACTCAGCACCACAACGAGTTTCACATTGTATCACTCGAGATGATCAAAGAGGCAAAATAGGCTTAGAACCACAAAATAAAATGCGTTCACTCATTATATACATGACAGCCAAATCTCCCGCCCCACCTTGGACCCAGCCAGCACCCAAATCAGCTTCACCCAGACATAAATATTGTTTGTGTTTGTTTGGTTGGTTGTTTGCTTTGATTCATTCCAACTAGAATTACATGATAATGGATGGGGCCTTTGGTTTGTTTTTTAATATATTGTTTTGTTTGGCTCGGCTTGTTTTTTTCTTTTCTTTTACAAGCGGGACAAGCCAACGACCTCCCTGGGGGCGTGGTAATTGGGCACCTTCATGTCGAGGGCGCTGCCAGAGTAGCCTAGGTCTTCACCCGTAAGGACGGCGCACTTCTCGCCGATGAGGAGGGCAGTCGAGTACGTGTTGCAGCCAACGTTGTCGGGGCAGATGGAGAGATCAGCAACCTTGAGGCCCTTGACGCCGTGGACGTTGAGGCGCTCGTCGAGCACGCCGTGCTTGACAATCGAGTTGCCGTTCTTGGGGGCCATGGAGCACGTGCCGAGTGAGTGCCAGGTGGTTTCGACGTGGCCTGTTACACGCAAGTTAGTTATTTTTATTCAGAAAGTGAAAAATGCGTAATAGAGAGAATACGTACGCTTGACCCAGTCTTCAATGTGCTTAATGTCTTCGTTGGAGTAGTGCAGGTCCTCAAAGACTTCCTGAGAGTTGGAGTTCAGGTAGGTGGACTGGGGAGCGCGGCCCTTCTCAACCGGGAGAGTCCAGGATCCGTGCTGGATGTTCGCGGAGAGGTTGCCGGGGAGGGCGTAGGCATTGGTGGTAGCGAGGTCCATGTCGCGAGCGCGGGCCGGGCTGTCGTAGGCGTAGAATGGGTGCATGGACTGGACTTCTCCAGCGTATGCGTCCATGCGGCGTGCCGTCTCACGCGACTTGATGTATCCCCAGACCATGGGTGCCATGTCGCGCTTGTCGTTCATGAAACCGGCGTCAAAGTCGGGTGCCTCGTAGGGGTTTGGCGACACAATGTGCGTGGAACCACGAGAGAAGGGGTACTCGAGGAAGTGGAACATGGTGAAGAACTTGCCTGGTGGCATAACCATGTGGTCACCGAACCAACCAGCAATGACCGAGTAGTGCATGACTGGCTTGTCGGGCTTGTTCTTGAAGTAAGAATCCCAGCCGGAGCGGAACTCCTTGCATGGCCAGCTGTCCATCATCCGGAGTTCGTCCTCGGTAGGGCGGATCTTGACACCAGCTTCGATACCGTTGGTAGCAAGTGGGCCAGTGCCGTTGATATTCCATTGCTGGAAGACTTGCTCCTGAACCTTGGGGTCACCACGAACGAAGTCGTCGAACGACTCGACGTGTGGCTTAGCACGGTATGTGGCAAAGGTCAGGCTATATTTGGTTAGTTGCCATATCTTCAGGCATTCCTGAGGGAGACTTACTAGTGGTCCTGGAAGTTGAGACCGACACCAGGAAGGTCAACCAGGGGCTTGACGCCGGCCTTGCGGAGCTTCTCTGGGTCACCAATACCAGATCGCTGAAGGATGAGAGGAGAGCTCATCGTACCGCCCGAAACAATGATTTGCTTGCGAGCACGGATGGTCCTGGACTGGACCTGTCCGGGGTTGACAGGCTTGGTCGGGACGACCTTGACGCCAACAGCCCGGTCGCCCTCAAGAATAACCTTTGACAGTCAGTGGTTTAAACGGCTTGCTGAGAGTAATAACATACTTTTTCGACCTTGTTACTGGTCAACAGGTGCAGGTTCTGGTGGACGGCGCGGGTGCTGTGGATGTAGCCGTGAGCAGAGTCGGATCGGCGTCCAGTATCACGGTTGATCCACTTGAGCCAGTGCTCAGCACCGTGGCCGGTGACCAAGTCTTGAAGATCATCAGTGGTGGGAATGCCTTGGGACTCGGTGGCGCGGAGGAAGTCCTCCTTGATGGGGTAGGTGTAGTTGCCAAAAGAAACCTTGATAGGGCCCTCGAATCCGTGAATGTCGCGGTTGTTGCAGGAACGCTGGTACGTCTCGTGCTTCTTCATGAGAGGAAGGAGTTCCTTGGTGGTCCAGCCCTTGGCCTGGAAGTCGTCGTAGTCGGAAGCCGAGGCACGGGTGTACATCTAAATAATATTAGCACTAGAGCTTACTCCATCCACAACCAACTACTCACCATGAAGTTAATCGACGATCCACCTCCGAGAATGTGTGCACAGGGCACAACAGCTCGGCGTCCATCGAGCCATTCCGAGGGCCTGGAGTAGTAGAAGGAGGCAGTCTTGCTGTCCAACTTCATGTTCCTGGGGTAGATGCCCGGGCGGAAGACCCATGGGTTGTTGAGATTGTTCTCACCAGCCTCAATCAAGAGGACCTGGAGGTTGTGGTCGAGGTTGGCCAAACGGCCAGCGACGACGCAGCCGCATGAGCCGCCACCACAGACGATGATATCAACCTTGTCATTGTCAGTTTGTGCGTTTGGTTGCACGAGGTTCTCAATTGGCGTACCTCATCTGGGATCGTCATTTTGTTAGATTGTAGTAATGTCAAGTTAGAATTGGCACAATATGTAGTTTTCTTAGATGTTGACCGCAGATGAGCAGGTCAACTGGGCATGAGAAAATCCTTCGTGGAGGCAGAAACGAGGTCCCTTTAAACTGTCAAACCCCGCATCTCCAGGATGCTCGGCTTCAAGGAGGAGCACTGTCTAGGCTAGGTCACATTGCGCCTCTCACGAGCCGTGTATCCCGGGGGTTGCACGGTGCATGCATGGTGGAGGGGCCATGTACCATTTCCCCAGCCTCTCTAGCCAAACAGGACAGTGCGTCGATTGTTACCGTACATGAAAAGGCATAGTGGGTCCCTATCAAAGCGATTCAAACAAAGGCGAGACCATGGATGTGCGGATCCGCAGGTAAGCTGCCTCCACTCAGACAACGTCCAGGGGGTAGGTATGGAGGCTGTTATTGGCCTGAAGAATGAGGTCAGGGTGCTTACCGGACCTGGGGTACTGGATATAGGCGAGCTGGGATAGATGCTGCAAAGGCCGCATTCTGGTTGACTGGGTGCGGAGAAGGATCACATTTAGTGAGGAGACACGGTTGGTTGCGTGTGCAGGCCCACTATCAAATGTAAGATGTGCGGAACCGATGCTGGATGGCTATGATGGCGTGTTCAGGCTTTGGATTCCAGCGTATCAGGCCCGGGCAGGAGGAGACGGTGGACACGTTCGTGACTAGCAACAGGCGACACGTGCAACAGGACATTTGAAATGACACTCGGATTCAGGACGATCGGCATGCAATTGAGTTGCCGGATATCCTGGAAAGTTGATGCCGTAGAGCATAGCTCGTGGAGTTGGTCGGTTGAGAGCTCCCTGGAGCTTCCCCGAGCTACCTAGCTGACAGCCTGCACCTGGGGTAAGCTGGAATGGGCCCATGTTTGTCTGCGGGGATCTTGCGGCGCTGACGTTCTTTCGGAGACACGTCCCCCCCAGTGGAAGAGTGCGGATGTGGGGTGCAGGACCTTGAGCGCCTCAGAGTGCGAGGAGACTTGCGCTTGGCGTGAACGCTAGTGCCGGAGTGTGCGGGGTTAGCCCCGCCCCAACATACAGGAGTGGGAGAGCAATGCAAGCGGTCAATGCAAACAGGCGGACGGCAGGTATGAGATTGGCTGCTGTTGCTATCAGCTTTTGACGGCCAGCACTTCGTGGCTGCTGCTAAGTGCCCCCCCTCGAGCCGCAACGTGCAAAATGGCGTTGGGCGTGGTGGCAGCATGGCCTTATTCCCGGACAGGACCAACATACTGATACAGAAACACAGCCACCCGACAATGGCGCCTCCATGGCTTTGGTTCCCGGTTACAAACCTTCTTGATATTGGCTTGGGTAAAGTGGGGGGGACTTGAGGACGTCTCGGCGCAGCAAGGACTGCAAGCTACTGCGAATCGAGTACGAGGCTGCTCGATCAAGACGACTCGCGGTCATACCACGAAGATCGTATCCTTTCTCATGTCAGTCCAAGCCCACAATGCACGGTCACGCCACGCTGATGATTTTCCGTCAGTAATAAGGCGCACATAGACTCCAACCGGGTACAGTGGGGTGGAGCACCAGAAGCCTTTAACAGAAGAGACTCTCTGTAATGCTGCTTACCTGCATTGGGGTAAAGTCCGCGACAAAGAAACCCATGCGGAGGCGGGAGCCTTCCGGTTCCTCGCATCAGCATGGTTGCATAAGTCGAATGGTGGCCTAGTATAGTGCAGTTGAGCCCTAGGCTAGCTGCTGTCGTAAGACGTGTCAATCTGCGGGGGAGCCTGCTGCCGATCCGGACGGTCCTATTCTGAAGCTTGTCCGTCTTCAACCTCCTTCCAAACCTAGTTCGATACATGATATATCACCGAAAAAGCTGCGTAGAATATTGATTTATTGCTTCAACGGTATCAAGTTGAAAGCCGGTCCGTGTACCTTGGCCTTTGCACCCTGAAGAGCTGAAGTGCGGATCCGGCCAATCCGTCGTTAATTTCCCATCATCTTCAAAAAGCCCTCAAAAGCTCCAACATGACATTGTGGTCCGTATTGTGATGCCTCTTGCAGTCTGGGTATTGTTTTTCTATTCTCTTTGATGTCAACCAACGCCGAAAAAAATGCAAGTCATGAGAGGAGAAGGGAAACACGAGAGTTGTAAACTCCAAGCAAAACACGATGAGAAAAGGCGCATGCAACCCTAGATGACCTCGTGTCGTTCCCAACCGGTTGGCTTCTGGTGCACAAGATCCTTTGTTGGGTGTGGCGCTTCCGGATCTCGATATTCTGCCACGTACGGGTTGGGGTCTTCCTTCTGGTCAAGGTTACCAAAGGTGTGGTTAACTTCTCGATGCTTGCTCTCATCTGCGCGGACTGGGATGCTGTTAGCGAGCTAGACACTAAGTATGCACAAAGATACGCGTACTGTAGAGGAGGAGATCGCGCATTGTGCGGTGACCCTCGGGCATCTGCCAGTAGTCGACCGCAATGTCGGGCGCTGGCAGTTTTTCCCATTTGGGAAGACGACCCGCGTCGAGATCTTCAATCTGGCGCGTGTATGTGATGACAGCTTCTTCCTCGAGGTAGCCAACGAAGCGGTGAACAGTACGTGGGCTGAGGAGGTAGGCGAAGAACAATGCGTTGCACCATACGCCTTGGGCTCCAAGCACCATGAGGCGCATGAAACGTCCTGGGCGTTGCATCTTGAGGAAGACCAGGAGGTGCATGCGTTCATTGTAACTTTCCTCGATTAGCGACTCGATCCTGGTAATGATGCATTAGTCAAAAGCCGCCCTTTGCCATGGAAAGAGGTACGTACCATCCATTGTCTCGCTTCATCCTTCGCATAGAGTGCAGGTGGCGTAACATGCCAGCTACCATACCAGGGACGCCTGCCACGCTCTCCAAGAAGACGTTACGAATCAGGTACTTTTCTTCTGTCATGGCAAACTGCTTTGGGACCCCCACATGACCCTGGGCATCTGCGTCGACTGGCTTTTGGTGCTTGTAGCCCGTGGCCTTGTCGAGGCCCCAGCGAAGTATCTTGACAGCTATGAGGGCGACTTTGTCCGACATGGTCTTTGCTTCTCGATGGGCAACGACGACTTGGTTCATTTGCTCTTCGGTGTATACTGGGAGCTGTTAGCTGCTGGTGGGCCAATCAAACTCCGTGTGCGTACCTGGATGCGGCCATGCTGCAGGAGTCTTGCGGACTTTTTCTGTCCCGTGCTTCTCGAAGAACTCGGTAATCTTGGCTTCGCTACTGGGGGTAAAGGAAAAGTTTCGTCGAGCATGTAGAGTTGGGAGATGCTGGACTGCGATGAAGGTGGGCCGAAGTCCGAGACTATAGCTGTGGAAGGACCTGGTGAGTTGAGCAGAAGCCCTTCTCGAAGCTGCCGGTACACATGTCGCTGTCCTGGTGGAGATCATTTGTAGTAGAGTGGAGAGCTTGTATCAAAGAGTTGAGTGTGTATCAAAGACACTGTGCAAGTGCAATGATGACTGCTGCTGCCGAACATGAGGCAAGGCTGAGGCAAACATGATTTGTTTATATAACCACAGTCATGACGCCGACGACTGAGCAAACCCTTCTAGTAGTACCCGCATGCCCCATAGCGGTGCCGTCAGTCACCGATGGCGTTCGGCCATCATGGGAGAATCAGGAATCGGCATGAGAAGGCGTAGGTGGATTGTGGCGTATGGAACGAACGGCATGGCTGGCGAGCAAATGGGCTTTGTTCAAGATGCCGAAGTAGTAAGCAGAGTTGTCGAGAACAAGAGCATAGGTCGCGTGAAGCGACGAGTTTCGAGGCGGCTGAGCAATCCGATACTCAGCTCACGAGAAGAAACCGGGATGGCGCTGCCAAGGCTCGGACATTCAAATGCGGACATGGGCGCATACCCCTGCCACCAGGACGTGTGAGGCTGGCACTTTGCTTATGTTTGGCACTGTAGGTAATCAGCTCGACCAGAATAGCGATGTGCATTTTTCGGTTGTTTTGAAGGCCATATGCATGGTGTTGAGTGCATGGAGCGTTTGGCCATGCATCCCGAAAAATGCTCGCCGGGCTTTCGGGGACTCGCCCCTTAGCCTTAGCGACCCACTTGTGATCCTCGAGGCGGGCCGAGCGCATGCTTGCATTTTCTGAACCAAACACCATGCGAAGTTTGCCTGTGGTTTTTGCTAAAGTGTTTTTTTATTTGTTGGCAGATTGCACCGGGCAGGTCATAATAGGGTGCACGCCTGACCAAGGTTCTGTGCTGCCGAGTGCATACGTAAGATTGCACCCTTGGCTTTTCCAATGCAGCGAGAATACGAGCACCTTTTTTTGGTAGACTTTGTGTTCTGGAAGGACGGGGAGAGTGACGGATATATGCTTAGCGAGCACATTGGGCAGAGCTTGTACCGAAGATTCAGCCTGTGGCTCTATTTGCATTGCATTCGGGGTCGGAGCATCCTGGAGATGTCTCACGGCGGATTAGGTCTGACTGTGTTTTTGACAAGATAAAATACATTGGACGTGACTAGCTGAGAGATCTGGACTCGGTGGACACGGGAGGGATCGGCCCATTGGTTGCTATGGGATGGCATTGGCATGGTGATGGGCGTTGCGTCGCGTCGCGTCGTGTCGTGTCGTGTCGTGTCGTGTCGTGTCGTGGGCGGCGTCTAGGTGTAGCGCACATGGAAGCCAGACTCGCCAGACTCTGTGGGCATGTCGGAGGCGTCGACGCTGGAGACGGACGAGGCGGGTGGGCCTTTGTTCAGGTAGTGGACAAAGTCGCTGATGCGGTGCTCGGTGCCTTGAGCCTCGCCCTGGACCTGGAAGCGGTTAGCGGCACGACAGGGGCGGCTCCATTTGGAGGGTGTGGGTGAGGGCGTACGGTTCCATCGGACGCATTGGTAACGAAGCCAGTCACACCAAGACTGCGGGCTTGCTTCTGCGTGAAGGACCGGAAGTTGACGCCCTGCACCTGGCCGTGGACCGTGTACCGAATCTGACCACGTGTGTCGCTGTTAGCTTCGCCCGCCGCCGCCGCCTTGCAGGACACGCACTCGCTTAGTGGACATGGTGGTGGTGGTGTCAGTGTCAGTGGCAGTGGCAGTGGCAGTGGTGGCAGTGGTGGAGGTGCAGGTGGAGGTGGTGGTGGTGGATGCAGATGGCAGGAAGAAGCGCTTCAGGTGTGTTTGGGCTGGGGGGCGGGATGGGGTGTTGGGGATGGGATGGGATGGGATGAGAGCGGCCGGTCTGGTCTGGATGATTAATGGGCAGCGGGCGTGATGCAGCGGCGCGACGTCATAGCCAGGGCGAAACGTCTAGCTGTCACTGCCGACTTCCCTTGGGGACCCCCGCGGCCTCTGGCAACGGGGCCAGCATTCCAGGTGTTGTGTCGTGTCGTGTCGTGTAGTGTCGCGTGGACCAAGGTTGGAGGATAGTATCTAGTAGTCTGCCCTACACATGCGGGGCCGGACAGCACGAGGCCAGCAGCCAGCAGCCAGCAGCCAGCAGGGGCACGCAGGTCCAACGGCTGGATTTCTTTTTTTACAGTCCCATCAGCGCTGCCTTTACAACCGCTATGTGTTCACGGCTGCCGGAAATTAGTCGCCGCGCTGATGACGCTAGTGCTCGCGTTGTTTTTCGGATACAATCTCGCGTCGCTCCCCCGTGACTGAAACTTCTAATCAAACGCACCCCCCCCCCTTTCGCCCTTTCGCCGCCCCAGGTCACATAGCAACAACCGCACATCGCCCAAGTGGCTCCGAAAACAACTGGAGCCGTTGAAAACCTCGCCCACGCACCGTAGATGCCGAGAATTCGTACTAAAAACCGAATCTCGCTGCTGATACGGAGTCTCACGACTGCTACGGCCCTGCACCTCCCCCCCTTGACCACCACCATGGATAATAATTCAACCACGACGCCCAACTCGCCCCCCCAGCGCTCCACCTCGCCCGATCCCTGGGCCACGCCATCGCTGGCCATCGGTGCCATTCCGCCGCTCGACCGCTCCGTCTCAACCGCCTCGTCCGTCTCGTCAGTATCTGGCCGCTCAGTCGGCTCCCGCCTCTCGTCTGATGGCAGCCGCCGCCGTGGATACATGCGCCCCGAGGGCACCGAGTTCTCCGAGTCTGCAAAGAGCAGAGAGAGCGTCATGAACCTGGGCACCATCGCGCATCTGCAGTACTACTTTGCCAGGACGGGCCTGCTCGACACGGCCACGGGGCGGATAGCAAAGGCACGCAAGCCGGGAGCGCGGCCCGTGAGCGGCGTGGAGCCCCTCTCGCCAGCTCTGGACGGCGACTTCTCCGTCATGTCGCCTACCTCGACAGACGGAACCAACGAGCAGCATCTGGGAGAGGGCTTCGTTGAGTCACCAGTCGACGAGACGGCTTCGATAACGTGGGAGGACCCCGAGCCCATGATGCTCCCGCCCACGTTCAGCACGTACAAGAACAACCCCATCTACGTGCCGCCGCCGCCGGATATGACGGTGCTGCGTCGCGAGCTGCGCGAAACGCTGGCCGAGTCGATGAAGCACCTGCATCAGCTCGAAAAGGGCTTCTCTGACATCCAGCCGGACGGCAAGACTGCGAAGAACGGCGGCCCGGATGCGTCGGGGTGGCACGAAATCCAAGGGCTCAACCTGCTGGATGTCACAACGCTGGCCATCAGGGCAGCCAAGAACTACTACACGGCACACGAAGAGCCACAGCGGCTCTACGCCATCAAGTCGGAGCGGGAGATTCGTAAGGAGCTGTACGACACGCTCGAAGTGCTCAAGCGGCTGGCGATTCGCAACTTTGGAAACGGGGTGCAGCCATACGAGGTGACGCAGCTCAAGCAGTGGGTCGACGACATTAGCGCGCTCCTGGACACGGAAGAAGAGAAGGAGCGTGAAGAGCACGCGCAGCGCGAACAGTGGTCGTGGCGCGAGGGCGACTGGACGGGCAAGGAGCGAGAGCGCGAAGTGCTCTTCCTGCGGTCGTTTGACGAGACCAGCCCCGAGCCGCTTCCTGAATGGACAGGGCCCACGGGCGACGAGCTCCCGACGCCGTTCCTCGCCACACTCCAAGACGGGCTGCGACTTGTGCGGCTGCACAACACGCTGGTGCGCAGGTCGAAGCGGCATTTCGAGCAGATCAAGATCTACCACACGGACACGACCAAGCCGTACCGCTGCGCCGACAACCTGCGGTACTGGGTCAAGGCGGCGGAGCTGCGGTGGGACATTAAGCTGGATGTCGATGTCATGGGCGTGGTGCAGGCCAAGGACGCAGAAGCATGGCGCAAGTTTGACGCGGCGATTCTGCAGTGGAGCCAGGGCGTGCGCGAGGAGATCACGCTGGAGTGGCAGAGGCAGAAGAACCAGACGAGGACACCTACACTACAGATTGACCCCAACTTCGAGGCGCTGTGAAGTGGCCAGACCATGGCAAATATTGATGGATGTTTTCGTTATTTCTTTCGCTGTCTATGTTTTTTTTGGCCCCACCCCCCTATCGTCGGTTGTAATTTGCACGATGCTCATGTCTTGAGAATCTCAACTCCCCGCCACCGCCGTGGAAGCGGTTTTCTTTTATCTGCTTGGGTATCATCCTTTTCCTTTGCTTTCCTTTCGTTTTTCTTTTCATTTTCTTTTCATTTTCATTTTTGTTTCCTAGTGTTGGTTTATTACCCTTCTTGCAGAGGAGGCAGTCCCTGGAGGGAAGCAGGGGCCTCTTCTTGTTGTATTAGCATTGGGCTTGGAGCGCGCTGGATAGCCGGCGACTTGAGATAGATACCCCCCGTTAGCATCAGCGGCTTGCAGTCAGTCGGATACACGTGTAGGATGAAGTTTGAAGCGGGCGTCGGGTGCAGGCAGAGGGCGAGGCGCGAGCAGTGTAGGGTGCGGCGCATAATGTTTAGACGGCGCGGTGGCATTAGGTAGATGTCGGGGATAGTTTGAGAAGGGTCGGGGGGCTTGAATGAAGACGTACGTCAGTCAACGTGTCCAGACCAGACGCGGCGGGCAGCTGAGCGCTCCACGGGTTCGTGAGGAGCGGTGCATAGGCAGCGTGCATAGTGCAGCGCAGCAGGTAGAGTGGCGCACAAGCAGCGCGCCAGCCCGAGCGGCGAGCTGGAGGCGGGAGGCACAGACGCGGCGGCGTAGCAGTGTGTGGGAGCTTGGGACAGGATGGCACAGGATGGCACAGGATGGCATAAGATGGCACAAGATGGCACAGCTTGGGGGCGCATGGGCGGGCATGGGCAGCAGGGGCGGCAGGGGCGCGGCAGGGGCATGCTGGCGGAAATTGGCACAGCGGCACTCGGTGTGTCGCGACGGGACGTTGTGAACGTGTCGCCCGTCGTTATCATGGTGCATGCACGCTGTTCGTCGACGTCCAGCACACACACGCACACACTGCGCCCGCCAGCCCGCCCGCCCGCCAGCCCGCCAGCCCGCCCAACAGCGCGCCCTCCGCCTGCCTCCTCTGCCTCTCGCCCCCCCCCCCCCACACAGCGCGCCATTGTGCGGCCAGGCCATGCGCGTCCGCTGGCGTACAAAAGCAACGCGCACCCACCGCCCGGCCAAGCACGCAGGACTAGTACGTAGCCGTAGTAAGCCAATCCATCCCTCACCACGCGACCGTCGGACCCGGCAGCCTCTGCGAAAACGACTCAATCTCCCGCGACAGCGCATCCGTGCATCCAGCGCTGCCAGTGCCACTGCCAGTGCCGCCCTCTTTTTTTCTCCTGCCTGAACGCGACCTGGAGATCTTCTCGAGGTCCCGGCAGAGAAATGCTCGATGAGCAACCCGGCCGCGCCGCCCCCAGTCAACCACAGCCGCAGCAGCAGCAGCCCCGCGACTGCCGTTGACGTGCCAGCGAAGACACCGCCCACGCCCACGCCCAATCCATCCGCAGCAGCGTCGGCATCCTCGCCCAAGCCCCTGCGGACCGCGCCCCCTCACCTCCCTGCCCACCTCGAAAGCACCACCAAGCTCGCGCGCAATGTCTCCCCGGGCCTGCTCGCGCGCATGAAGTTCCTCAACCAGCCCGCCGACTCGCTGCCCACCAAGACGTCCGTCGACGTCGGCCGCATCGAGCAGGAGCGCCTGCGCCACCTCGACGAGTTCCGCAGAGCCCGCAACCTCGACATCGAGCGCCGCGGCACCGTCTGGGGCGCCCGCTTTGGCTCTTCCGCCTCGGTCCCCCACACGCCTCTCGTGCCCCAGTCGACGGGCGAGAGCGTCCCGGCCCTCGTCATGGAGCCCGACTTTGAGAGCGACCGCAGCAGCGTCGTCAGCACCAGCGACAAGGTGCTGCCCTCCGAGTCCGAGGCCGACGTCGAGCTCGACATGCAAAAGTATCGTCTGCCCGACGTCACCAAGCCCGAAAAGGCCCTCGCCAACGCGCTGCCCACGGCCGTGGCAGAGGACGCTTCCTCTCCCCAGTCACCACAACCACCGCAACCTCTCCCTTTTACACTAACCACGCAAACCCCCGCCCCGCCCACCACCACTACCACCACCACCACCACCGCCTTCCATCGCGCCCCCAACGCCGCGCCCCCCACGCCGCCCCCCAAAGACACACCGCCCCTACCGCCCACCGCCGCCGAGCAGGAGGAGCCATCCGTGCTCGACGACGACAATGGCATCGACATCGAGTCGTACTTCCAGCGCCGCCACTACCAGCGCGCTGGCTCCATCTACACCCTCTCCAAGGCCAGCCTCACCAACCAGATCCAGCAGTTGACGTCGATGCAGCTGCCCCCCTCGACCATCGCCTCGGAGATCAAGGCCCTGGCCACGGCGCCCCTGGCCGGCCGCGCTCTGCACAAGGCAGCCAACGACATCCGCCTGTGGATCGGCAAGAGCAAGGAGGTCCTCGTCGGCCTGGATGCCGACGACGACGTCGAGTGGGCTGCAGCCGCCGGCCGAGAGGGCCTGGCCGAGGTGGATGCCGCCATTGGCAGGTTCGAGAAGCTTGTCAACCTCTACATCGGCGCCATCGAGGACCTGCAGTCGCGCCCAGACATTGCTGCCCTGCCCACCAAAGACCAGATGACGCTCGTCAGCCAGATGGAAGACATTGTCATGAACTGGGGCGAGATCAAGCAGACGCTCAAGAGCATCAAGAACCAGGTCGAAGTTGCCATGGAGTGGGAAGAGCTATGGAACAACGTCTTGGGCGAAATCGGCGCAGAAGTCGAAAACCTCAGCCGCCTCGTCTTTGAGATGGAGGAGCGCAGGCACCGCGTCATCTCCGACTCGGTTGCAGAGGCGCCCGAGAAGTTTGACATCAAAGAGCTCGAGAACATTGTCGAGGACCTGCCGCGACAGCAGGCTATCCTCAACAGCAAGCGGTTTAGTATGCCCACGCTGACTGTCGTGTCCCCTGTCTCGCCCATTCCTCAAATCGAACAGGAAAACTCTCGCCTGCTCGCCCTGTTCGCAAAGCTACAGCCCCTGCGCGCATCCCTCGACTTCCTGCCCATGCGACTCAACGCCTTCCAAATGCGTGCCAACACGATTTTCCCCTCTGCTTGCGACGAGTTGCAACGCAGGCGAGAACAGCTCGAGGCCCAGGAGAAGAAGTTGGAATCCGAGGCCGACGCGCTGCGAGAGGAGCTGGGCGAAGACAAGTGGGTGCACAGCTTCCGCCAGGCTGGCAGCAAGGCGGTTGCCATGTACGACTCATGCATGAAGAGCATACAGCGACTGCAGCAAGCCATCGACGATAATGACGAGGAGAAGCTGGCTACACGCATTGCCACGTACAAGGACAAGAGAGACCACTACCCACCGTCCATGAGACGCGTGCTGGAGCTGATTGACATTGAGATGAAGCACAGATCGACCGTCAACGGCGAAATCCTGCGCATCCAGTCAGATGTGCGCACCAAGGTCGAGGACCTCGAAACCGTCACCGGAAACATGGACGCCATCCTGGACGATTTCACTGCCACGCGCAAGCTTCGCGACTCCGTGTCGACCGTGGTTTCTGCTCGCACCGAATCCTCGTCTTTCCCCCACTCCAACTTGGAGACGCCGGCCAGCTCTCCTGCTTCCAGCATCATCATGAGCCGCAAGAGCAGCACCAACAGCGCCGCCCTGACCCCGATGAGCAAAAAGTCTCTTCAATCCGCCGCCACAACATCAAAATCCGCTGTGCCTGCCAGTCGACGCTACTCGGCCATGCCTCAAAGCGTGGCCAATATCCCTCGCAAGTCGCTGCCCTCGTCGCGTCTGGACTTTTCGTCGTCTCGCGCCACGTCTGGCACATTAGCCAGCCAAGCGCGTTCAAAGACTCCCACTGACAAACCCGCACCCAAGCCTCGCTGGAACTCGGACACGCACTTGCGCGACACAATTATTGGGCACAACTTTAAGCCCTTGAGTCTCAGCACGCCGTCACCATTTCGAAAGGAGGCGCCCGATGTGTCTCGCCGAAGCTCGGGGTCAGGTCGCTCGGCCATTCCCGTAAAAAGTCCCCTGAGCCGCTCTTCGGCTCTGACGCCCGCTGCACCTACCCGTTCCACGTCCACCAGTCCGGCCCAGCAGCGCCCAGCGCGATCTCAGGCGGCTGCCGTGTCATCCCCGGCTACGCCGGCAAGCAGCAAACTACCAACCCGCTCAACACCCGCATCACCCCAAACCAAATCTACTACTCCAGGGTCAAGCCGCCGCTCAACCACTGCAGGACAAGACACTGCTAGCCCTGGTGGCGAGGGCAGTCCTGCAACCCTTCGCGCGTCTCAGTCTCCTAGTGCTTCAACCACCCGCCGCAGCAGCCTTCTTCCTACACCAAAACGACCTGCATCTGCTATGAAACACACCGAGTCAAGTCCTGCTTTTGTCTCAGCCCGTGCTACTAGCAGGATCGGCAACATAGGTGAAGGGCGAGCCGGCAGGGTCGGCGAAACACGCGCACATAGCCGTGTTAGCGGACGCCAGTCAAGCCTAGGAGACAGCAAGCCCGTCTGGAGATAGGCTCTCGCAAAGCGGTCATTTTCTCTCCAAGTGCCCGTCTTCGACTAAACGACACCTTTTTTTCGCGTGGATGACGACATTTCACGCCCGTCAATGTCACCACAACACCCCTTATTCCCCGTCACTTCGTTTCTCCTTAGGATCCCGGCTTGATTCGCACCACCCCATTCCCTCGTACCAATTTTAGTCACTCGATTTGCCTTTACCGCTCCCTTTTGCGGTATTACGGAGTAGCTCTCCTGATGTACATTCAAAGCTCTTGATCTCACCTCTGGATCATTTTTCGAACTGCGTTTTTATTTTATTTTTTTGCTTTCCATCTGGGCGTTCTAGCGGTTGGGAGAACGTATCCTATACCCCGGCGTTTTAGCGGTGTTGCACCTGATTTTTTTTTCTTGTTGCAAATTCATCTTGATTCAAACACCCACACATACATACGGCATTAGCGGAGTACGCAACATATATCCCCGACGTCAAGCTTGATGTGCGTTCTGAGCATATATCTTGATTGAAAGAGCGAGCATTGTAGATGTGAACTAGATTGGTATGTTGGGCTTTGGTGGGGTGTGTGGAGGATGAATGTGTGAGGACGAAGGAGAAATGATTTGAGGGGTGGAGCAGCTTCTAGTAGTATATGTATGAGTTGAGCCAAATGCGTTGACAGTTATACATTTGATACCAGAGTAAAGAAATAGACATGGCTCTTGCTTGACGTACCCAGGGCTATAGTCTGTGAATCAACATGACATGACGCAGTATTCCAATCTCACAAAGCCGAGAGATGCTTGACCAACGTCACTACTTACATCCCCATTCACCCCCGTCTTCCCACTCTCCCCGCCATCCAGCACCTGCCCACAAACGCCAAACCCCAATCTCTCATAGAACGCCCTCTCCCCTGCATTCCGCGCCACCATGTCCAAATGCACGCCCACTGCCCCTTTCTCACGCACCGCCTCGCAGAACCCATGCACCAACTGCGTGCCCCCACCCTTTTTCTTCTGGTACTCGGGCAAAACATGCACATGCAAATGCGCCGGATACCGCGCCAACTCTGCAGGCCACTCTAGCAACATACTACTACACTGCGCGTCGTACACGGCGCGGCGCGGCGAAAATGCCTAACTAGCGCTTCTTCCATGGGCCGCGTCATCCGTGACTTGATCCGGCGGCGGGAACAAGCGTGGCATCTATACTTACTGCGTGTAAAATCCGCAAGCCATTGCTGTGCAAACGACAGTGTGCAACGCGTTCCAATGCAGTATTTCACTATGCGCACGCCGCCGTCGTCGTCCAGCACCAATCATGTAGGCGGTGTGAGACACACGCACGCCGTGTACCAGAGATACGTCCCGATTGTGCGTATGGGGTTGGAGCCGAGCGAGGCGGAGATGGTGCTGTGGTACTGTGTGGGGGGTTGAGGGGGGGGGGGGGGTGCTGAGTATAGTACTACTATTTGTATGGGGAGGTTGATGGGTAGGTAGGTAGGTAGGTAGGTAGGCAGGTAGGTAGAGAGGTAGGTAGAGAGGTAGAGAGGTAGGTAGAGAGGTGGGAGAATGGAATCGGTGCTTTGTATGTACATACATACCACATGTAGTCCATGGTGGAAATCGCGGGATGCGTCGTACGCACGCACAAAGGGGGATGAGTTTTCCACTGACATTTTTTTCTCCCTTTTCGTTGGGCTGGCTGGCTGGCTGGCTGGCGGATAATGATGGCGGTACTCTAAGCAAGTGGAAGATGGGGGCTTTGTAATAAGTACATTAGCAGACTTCCATCTGGAATATATATATATATATATATATATATACTTACATACATCGACTGATCACATGTTTATCTTTATGTTATTTTCCCACCATCATGCCTCTGCAAGGTAGACCGCGGCGATGCAGAGACATGTGATGTAATATGCGGGATACGAGAAAACCGATTTACAAAGTGCGGTCAGTGGCAGTGCTGTTATGATGCAGGGTTGGGCTGGGGATGCGGGGGTTGAGGGGTTGCATGTGCGTGTGATTGGTTGCTTGTAAGTAGTGGTACTTTGTTGTGTAAGTACTTGGTATGCTGATGGATGGCGCTGTATTTATATGTATGACTTGGAGAGGTGATGGTGGAATGGATTGAGAAAAGGCAAAATGTTTTAAACGGTACGTACGAGTACTTTTACTTGTTCGTTTCTGGACTGACTTGCTACTTACCTACCTACCTGCCTGCCGAAAACTATGCATGTATTTGCATCACACAATCGTCGCCCCTTCCCCTCTACCACAGTACTTTGTGTAAGACATACCCCCTGCAGAGTTACCATTCAGGAAAGACTTTTTGGAGTCCTCGCATCATCAGATATTCCATCAGATCGAGAACAAGCTACGAAGAATCTCCTACAGCAGCTACAGCAACCAACCCTGTTTTCTTATCTAGCTTCTTGCTTTTCTTGCCTTTCTTGCTCTTTTTCGTTAACGATACCGGGTCGATCTCAACTACCACACTCGAAGTATCTGCTGCATCCGCCTTCGGACTAGCCGCCGCCGCCGCCTGCTGCTCCATTTGCATCGCCGAATCTGAGCGGACTAGAGCGGTTTTCTTTGGCTCTTTGGACGCTACCGCGACCGAGTCTGCTTTCTGGCCCATTTGCTGGTACGTTTTGCTCGATATGAAGTCGAGCTCGTCAGTGAACGACTTCGGGGTAGGCGGGACCTCTGGAGTTGGCTCGATGGGATCTGTTTTGGGGGAGTCGATTCGTGGGGTTTCGGATACGGCTGCGATGTCTGGAGTTTGTTCTGCAACAAGATCTTCTTGTACGCCTTCTTCTTCTTTGTCCTCATAGACTTCTGGAATCCCTGCAGCAAGCACAGAGTCGTCATGGCCGTTCACCGGCGCTGCTTCTGGAACCGCCTCAGCTGTAGGCGTAGCAACGCCGTTCTCCTTGGGCGCCGGAGTCGCCAGCACTCGAGCACAATTACTCATTACCGTCTTCCAGGCCAGGCGTAGCAGTCTGCTATTGCCCTCGACGGTAGTTATGAAATCTGTTTTTTGGAACGGCGTCGCGTCTTCCCTCATGGCTGTCTGCAGCGCATCTTCAATGTACGCCGGATACCACTCGTCGTGCTCCGGCAGCAGGGGAAACGCATAGTCCCGCGCGACTGCAAGCATATCAAAGACATTGACTTCTTCTCCAAACGACCCGAGTCGACCCTGCGCTAGCTCCTTGAGCCCCGGTAGCTCGTACCGGACAGCCGCGCAGTACACACACGCGCTCTGCTTGTAGCTCTCCGGGATGACTTTATCGGAAGCCGCGTGGACGCTGAGCGTCTGGTATCTGCCCGTGTACAGGTAGTGCACGAGTGTGTGCGCAGTTGTCTGGTCGAGCTCCGGCAGCGCCACAGACTGCTTGACAAAGGATATCGGATACGACTTTGCGAGCAGCACTGGGCTGCGGCTCAGAACACTCTCGTGCACCAGGAAGCGAACGGCTTTAGGTCCGATTTCCAGGGACACCATCTGTGTAGTTGCATATGGGCTGCAATAGCAGATTGTCAGCGCGCAGGTGGTGCGAATGCTTCAGTGCAACTTACGACTTCTCCTCTGTACTGATGGCTGCATCGCCACCTCCATATCCAAATCTACTCACCCCATTATGCTCATGCGGGACATTCAGCGTCGAATTATCGCTAACCGGCATTGTGAGCTAGCTTCCGTGCAACGCCTGCGGGTACCTTGAACTCCGCCATGGAATGCGTTCACGCCGCCGTATTTATCCTGCATTCTGCGAATGAGGCTCCAAATGCGTGCGCTGTCAGACTCCCACGTCCGCGGGGCTCATATGCACTTGTGAGTTGTCTGTCCTACACTGTATTTCAGCAGCGAGGCTGCGGCAATCTTGTTGGTCAGCCTGCTTGTCCTTCACTGCACCCCGCGGACGCCGTATCCAATGGCGGGTGAGACGGCACTGGGCTGAGCAGTGCCGGTGAGTTCGGGCGTGAATGCATTGGCATTGAGTTTTTGGGTCTAGGATTCCGGCCTGGTCGTCTTGAGCTCGGTTCACTATTACTAGAATGTGGTTGGCGTTCAAGTCGATGTAAGAGTTGTCCTGGGGCGTAATCTCCATGCGCCTGGTGTGTATAGATGACTGTATCATTTGAAATCCGATTGAGATGAGATAGGTTTAATTATGATTGTTCTAATTCCAAGTATCCAGTATCTCGCTAATCGTATAGAAACATAGCTCAGCATTATGCAGGTCCGCTTCGAGTGCGTTCGTCTTCGCTAGAGTAGCCATCACTATCTTTGCTCAGCCTTGCCGCCATTTCATATTCATCCGCGTGTTGCACGGCCTTGGCCGGACTATCATCCATATTTTTGAACATGTGGTAGAAAACGGCACCGGTAACGCCCGCCGCAATTGCCAATCCAAAGTATAGCCATTGGAGATGCGGGTCCCTCGCCAGAGGCGCAATGAGTATGCCTATCGCGCTGCCGCCGGCACTGGTAAGTAGAAACAGACTCATGATGAAGCTCTTCATGTTCTCGGGTGCTTTCGCATATGCCAGCTCCAGGCCGGTGATGCTTGCGAGGATTTCGCTGATAGCAACAAGTATATACGCTGGGGCCTGCCATGCAACGTGAACTTCATTTGGCTTGAACCTTCCTTCTGCGATTTTGCCCGCGTTGCAGTTCGAGGGACTATAATAGCATGGTGGTGCTGCATAGATAAAGGTCTGGAGAACGCCGGCGTACAGCATAGCGAGCGCAGCTATCATGAAGCCGAGCGAAATGCGCGTTATCGGCAGGAAGGCGAAGTGTAAGCGAGTGCGGATAAACGGGTAGATGATGCGGTCCATGAGTGGGATGAGTATGATGATGGTAATAGGATCGAGGTTGGGAAGGATGTCGTTCGGAAGGCCATGTAGCTCCATCTGTCCAGCCTGCGAGATGAAGTTGTTCATCATTTGCGAGAAAGTAACCCAGTAGACGGGAAAGAATAAAAAGACCTTACACGCTACCAGTGCCGTCTTCAGCTCGTCGATAAATTTGTCGTCCCATGTCACTCTTGACCTGCCTCTTCCATGTCCTTGGGCTGAAGCTTTTGCCTTGTTGAGGTCCCCACCGTTCCTTGCGGCAATGTACAAAGCCCGAAAACAGTCGCCAATGACGCCTCCTTGGGGCGGCTTGATGATGTATTGGCTTTTTCCTCGTACTAAGATCACATAACCGACACAGAACATGACCAGTGGTAGGAGATATGCGCTCCAGAAACCGACATGCGACTCGAGCATTGTGGTTGCGATTGCAGATATCGAGCCGACATTGATGCACATGTAGAACACCATGTAGATTCTCTGCACTGTGAGCTCTGGATCGACAATAACTTTCTTTCCGTCAGGCAAAGTCTTGACAAAGGGCTTGTTGGACCGAACTTGCTCCGCAATCAACGGCGACACATTGCTCTTGATGCCGCCAGTACCGAGCCCAATAACCAGCATGGCAGTAATGAGTCCTGGAAAGGCAGCTCCGCTTCGTACAGACCATGGCAAGCTCGTAACAAAAAGAATCACAATGCCTGCCATGTACACGAGGCTGAACCACTTGATCGTAGCGTACTTGCCCAGGTACTGGTCCGCAATGACAGCGCCTAGCAAGGGTGTTACATAGCACCAGAATTGGAAAAAGTTGGTCATGGCCGTGGCGCCGGACTGCTTCAAGCCGAGTGCTCCCGGAAGGCCGTTGGGATCATCGTATCCATTGGCAATGTAATTTTGGAAAGGTCCGGATAGGCCATAGTAGGCGAAGCGCTCGCAGAGCTCCACGATAGCGACCAAGAAGGCGCCCCGAGGCAGGGTATCAGGGACCCGTGGAAGAAAGAGATCGTCTTCTGGTGTTGGGACGGATCCGATATGGACAGGTGGTTCAAAGTTGGCCTCGTCGTCCTCGCCTGCGACCTTGCCATGCACAGTCAACCTTGCGCTTGTATCCTCGGTTTGCGCGACGGTCGTGTATGCACCCCTGTCTTCACCACGCTGACGCCACGAAGATGCCATCCCACAGCGTGTTTTCCAGATCTCCAACGATTCCCTCCTGTGTTGCTGCTATCCTTCTCTTGTATTACCCCTGTCCTACCCCTGTCTCCACAGCACTCGAACTGGTTACCGCAAACTAAATGCACAATTCCTTCATCGTATAGCTAATATAAGCACAGGTAATGGAACGGAGAGTGAGATCAAGGTAGCTAGTAACTCTGCAAGAATGGAAAGTCTGAGCTTTCAGACCTTAAAGACACGCGTTCTGGATGACGAGACGGACCTGGCGTCGATCTAAGCCGAATGCGGTACTGAATACCCCCACCATTTCTTAGTATACGAGAACAGGTGCACCAAGCTTGCAGTACCACTACAGACCGACCCTTGCGCATTCTCTCATGTGACAGCCAAGCCCTATTTCTTGTTGGCAAAGAAGTGACCCAGTCTTCCTTCTACATCCTTGACGCCCAGTCCACACGTCAGACTCCCCCTTATCCACTTTGGCAGCTTATCTTGTATCCGCTTGCTCCCGTATCGTCGATCCAGCATCAATATAGCCGCATAATCACCTTTGTGTCTGATAGCCCGCCCCACGCATTGATTCACAGAGCGCATACATGCATTCTCGTAGAACTCGCGTGCTGCAGCCTTGCCGTCGCCACCAGCTTTTGCTTCTTTGGCAGAGATGTACTGCATCTTTGCTTTCCACTCCGCTGAATGTGCGTTGGGAAATGGCAAGCCGACGACCACAACACCACGGCCGAGTGCGTCGCTAAAGTTGATGCCTTCGGATAGTGTCCCGCCGATAACGGCAAAGAGCAGCGCACCACGGCCATTGCCAGATGCGATGGCCGTACTGTAAGCATTGAGGACCGAGTCGACAGCCGCCTCTTTCGCTGCTGATGGCACGTCGGGGCTCTGTTGCTGACTGCGTTGCTCCAAAAAGACTGGCTTTTTGTGGTTGAAGGTATCCCAGAAGGTGGTATTCGAGTGCAGTGGCTTCAGGCGCTTCCACGCCGCAATGCAAGTGTCCAGGTATGAGTAGCTGGGAAAGAAAACCACCACGCCATCGGGTACGTCTCGAGCAAATGCTGAAATGGCAACGCCGAGGTCAACCAATGTCTTCTCTTTGTTGCGGTTCTCAAACGTAAAGTCGAACTCGGCACCGCTCGTTGCTTGAACAACGGGCACAGCAAGAAGGTTGGAAGGCGGTATGACATGCCCGCAAGACAACGTTGTGATTTTCGAAGGCTCGAGATACGAAAGCAAATGCTGTTCATAGTCGCTCATTGGAGACATTGTACCACCCGCCAATACGACTGCTCTTGCTTCTTCAACAATGTCTTTGAAATGAAAGGTCGGGTCAAGGAGCATGTATCGCAGCGTCGTATCCGCGCCATCCTCTTTTGAGTAGAAGAACCGACCTTCCGCAGATGGGTTCATCAAGGAGAGTAAGAATGCCTGAACGTGCATCAACACCGGGATGTTGTGACGGGGCGCCTTCTTGGACGATTGCTTTGCCGACTCGTTGATCATTTGCTCGGTGTAAGCAGTATATCCATCAACTTTTCGGGCGAGTTTGCTTTCCTGAAGGTATGTGTCGAGCTTGAAGATGTTGATCTGGTCAACGCCTTTTCCAGACATTATAGACACCATGTCGACCAGGCCATCAGTCGCTTTTGGATTGGCATCAATGCCTTGCAAGTATGCAATGATTGAATCCAGGATCCGAACTGTCTGGGCAACATAGACTCGGTTCTTGCCCTTTAGCTTATTACGAAACTTTTGAAGGTAGGCTGTCAGTTGAGCACGCGCTTGCTGCACTTGACTGAGCGTCACAGAAACGGAATATATGCCTGCTATGGCGTCCATAAGATTATGTGCTTCGTCAATGATGATGACGTGATCTTTGAGGGACAGCCCAAGTGCCTCGCGAGCAGTGCGTTGTAAGAGCAGTGGATACGGCAACGTCACAATCTAGTTTTGTAAGTATTTGGAGTGGTAAAATAAACCATTTGGACCCAACTCACCTCGCAATACTTTGTCGCTGGTCTTGAGGCATAGTAAGGACACACCCCCAGCTTCTTACCCAGCGACCCCAGATCCTCAATGTCTCTGATCCTTGCAAGCGCATGATCACGGAAGTCATTGATCAGAGGTTCGCTTTCTTTGGTCGGCATATGTGGGCATCGACTTCCGGTGTTGCTGTTTTGCTGCAGCTCTAGGCATCGTTCGTTGATAGCAGTGGCACTTCCAAGCTTATTGACTTTGCTATTTATACAGAGATTCTTCCTGGATCCTAGCGTAAGGTGTTTGACATCTTCCACGAGTGAGTCTACCTCACTGCAGTCCGTGTCATCCGGGGTGATGGCGGGTGGCATCCTGACCCGGCTCAGCTCACTCGAGAACTGTGTCAGTTGAGAGTGTGTACGTGAGCAGAAGAAAATCTTGGTCTCATCAGGTGCCTCCCCGTCGTCAGCTTTCGAAGAGTCGTCAGCATATCCCAGTGACGCCATTAGTGCCTGTGTCTCTGCTGATAGTCCAGACTCGTCAAAGACACCGGCTCTTGCTCTCTTGTGAGATTCTTGATCGCTTTCGTAGTCGTCAAGCACGAATTGCGCTTCATTATCATCATTCGTCTCGCCGGGCGCGGTCCTTTGTCTCTTGTAGCTTGGCTCGCCGCCCTCATACCGCTCTTTCGCACGCTTTTCTTTTGCTTTTATCTTTGCGATGCGTTCATTCAACTCTTGTTTGCGACGAAGCGCCTCTTGCTTGCGCTGCTTCTGTGCATGTTCGACAATCCATGACGGCTCGTCGCTGTTAGCTGCATCGGCAGCGAATCCTTCTTCAAACGTCGTCCTCTTGTGCTCTCTTAACCATGTCAAGGACCCGCAGATCAAACTCAGTGACTTGCCGGTCCCAGTCGGTGATTCGAAAATGCCGACTTGACCATTCTCCAGACACTCGTATACAGCGTTCATGAATTCATTTTGTATGTCATAGGGTGTGTATGGATGGTGAAAATTCCGTTGCTTGTCTGTGCTGCCCATGTTGAAGTGTGTACCAATGAAAATGGTTGTGGTTAGAAGACGCGACGCGTTAACGAGACGGGTGTTCACGTGGCACGCTAAGTGCTTCCCAGGGTCCAGGGGTCAGGACGGTGTGTATGCTTTATTTGGGTGCAAATCGAAGACTATATGCTTAGCCATGTTATTCACGTCTTAGAAAGCAATGCAAATTAATAGAATACACAAGCGAGTGCTGAGCGATGTGGCATCATAAATTTTTAGTCTAGTTCCCAGTTGCAACGTCCTCATAACGACACATTCAAACTTGAAGAAACAACAAGAAACGGGTATCATACACCAGTACATCCATTGCCTTGTTCATGACGCATCAAGACTCTTCACTCCCGCCCCTGCTTAATTCCCGTGAAATGAAAGCCTCCGGATCTACCGGACAGCTCTTGACATCGACTTTATGTGTATCCGCCCATGCTCTAACCTTTGCCTTGTTGATGACCGCATCGGCACCTCCCTTCTTCTTTTGTTCTAGAACGTCCATCATCTGCAAAGTTGCGATAATATCCTCGGGTACAATGTATGTTTTTTCGCGGAGCTCCTGCACAGTGAGTGTCTTTTTGGACGGAGAAGAGAGAAGAGTACGAGCGAGCGTTTGTGACCAGTAGTGGTTGTAGGCGATGCGGCCTAGGTCGGACAGCGCTGTCGTCGTGGTGTCAGTAACCGACAGCACAAAAGAGTCGAATAAGGAACGGCTTACGCTTCTCCGGCCCACCAAGTCTGTTCTCCCGTCTACTCATCTCGTAGCTTGCGCCCATCAATAACTGGCCTAGTCCCTGCTTTTGCCATGGTGGAAAGACCAATATACACGCCAGGTTGTTGTTGTCCCAACTCATCTTCTCCTTGCTGAAAAATCCAACCACTTGCCCCGATACGCCAGTATCACCTGGCGTTGTGTCATCACTCAAATTGGTATTTGGTACAGGAGGTGTCGGGTTGTGTGCGACTAAGAGATAGTACAGGAAGGTCGTCACATCGTAGAAGACAGATTTGGTATCGAGAAAGAGCTTCGCAAAGAGCGATAGGTTCTGCGCATACAGCTTGTTCTTCTCGCCATCAATCTCGTAGAGCGAGTAGTTGTCCTTTGTGTAAACATTCACGCCTGGCGGTGGAGTGTTGCGAAGCGGACAGGCTTTCTGGGTTGCATCAGCTAAAGCTTTCTTCCGATATATCTGGCGTCTCTGCGGCTTACCAGATGGCCCAGAAAACCGACCAGCTCCTTGCTATACTTGAAGCACCATTGGCACACGTACAGCCGCTCGGCACGCTTGCCAACGAGCTCTTCTGGGTAGAAGGACGGGTACCATGGCTTGATGAGGAGCGAGCCGAGCACAACCTCGAGGACGTTGGGGCCCGAAGGCGGCTTCTGTGACCTTTTGAGGGCTGAGTTGGGCGGCGTCGATGTCATGGAGGCTACATCGGGGGCCATTTGGCCGTTGACGACGCGTCGAGGGGTCGTTTCACATGCCGCTGTGGGGTGACGCGATGCCGGGGAGCTTCAGCTCTTTGCCGAGCTAGCTTAGCGCGACGCGGCTGCACGTGTTCACATCTTTCCGTCACTGACGACATTGGGCATTCAGCCTGAGGCTGAATTTTTTTATTTTTCATCAACAACTAGCTTTGATGTTGGAAAAACTTCGCCAAGTCATGTTTCGGGGCCGAGGAGCTGTCTTTGCATTTTCCCCGAGATGGCATTGAGCAAATGCTAACGTTGGCTATGTGACGTGCAAAGAACCTGCTGGGCTGTGCTTGCAACCGTCTGGCTCCAGGCTCACCAGAGCAAGATACCACGCAAGAACCGGTTGCTGGAAAAAGGAGAAGTAGCAGACCCAGATGCCTTTCCTAGACGCAGCACAACTCAACACAGCAACCAAGTCATGCGCACCCTATTTTCCCTTCTTCGTAGGGCTAGCCGGCGGAGTCGATATACCAAAAGGCCTCATGGCATCCTGAATGCCGCACTGGTGCGAGTGGAGTGCCTTGAGCAGAGCTTTGTCCTCTGAATAATCCTGCCATGCAGCCTCATCTTCCATGATTGCAGGCAACCGAGCATGCAGCTGCAGAGTGATCGCCTTACGGAGACCGCTGTCGACTGCTGGACACGTATCACTGTAGATGCTCGAAGCCAGATCTACAAGACTCAGAGGATCGTGGATGAATGGCAGACGGTCAATGATTGTCTCGACCACTTTCTGCTTGATCGATTCGAGATTGTACTGTGCATATTGTCAGGGCCCTGTGTTCCACAAAATATCGAGAGACTGACCTTGTCGCAAGCAACGAAGAGAGCTAACAAATTACCCATGATACGATCTTTCTCGATTGCGGGTTGGAGTGCAAAGTTGGTAAAGATCGATCCCGTGGTCGGGTTGTACACTTGGTACATCTCTTGAAGCATCGTGCTGACAGTCTGATCGTTCTCAGGCAAGGTAATGGAGCGCTGTTCGGCTTCCTTTGAAGTATCAGCAAAGCCCAGTTATCTGATTTGGAGGGTCTATGCATCTTACTGCAAAATTTCCGTCGCAGACAGCATTGAAGTACTGTGAGCGCATGCAGAGTCTAGTTGCTGTCAGCTAAATCGATGGAATATGGAGTCTCGTCTTACAGGACACGATGGACAGGAAATACCCTGCCTCCAGCAATGATGGAGAAATCAGAGCATTTGCCGGTCTTGTAGATGCTGCGAATGTCAGTTGGTTGTCTGAAGGCAGTGCATGGGCTATTTACCGGGCCCATTCTGGCATGTTTTCGCTTGGGACGGCCATCCAAGCCTGAGAACTGTGGTTGGTGTAGCCTTCCTTTTCCATGCTGAAGTCGGCGCGTGCAATTGCATGACTACTATACAAGTTATTATTCATTAAAATGGCTGAGTAGATGTAATACATACGACGCGGCTTCATGGACTTCAAAGTGAAGATTGCCCACTTTGGTAGCAAGGCGACTCAGCGTGTGCAGAAAGTCATCAGCGTCGACACCCGTTGTGAAGTTCAGATCTATCTGTAGATGCTGCATAAGTACGCAGACTTTTTTGCATGACTTGTTAAAGCGAGTGCAGACTGCTCGCGCCTTGGACACCTGGAAGAAGACTGGTTCATCGGTGTCGGGAAACTGTGCCATAACGGCGACACCAGGCTCAGTTTGATAGATCAGTCCGAACTCAGAGTTCGCACGGTCAAGCAGCAGCTGGGCAGAACCTGGGGACTTGAAGTCATCGCTGATGGCGAACGACTTCAACGGCCAAGTGACTGAGCCGTACTCGTTGCTGAGAGACATGTTGTCGCTGTGATGCTGTGAAGATGCCGTAAAACAGCGCCCTTGTACGAGGGTCGAGGCAGAAGCCGTGGCGAAAAGAGTATAGTTGAGGCAAATCTCAAGTAACAGGATGGACAAGGTGATTAAGTCGAGCAGAGAACCGGGGCATGTCAAGCTTATGTACTCAATGTGTCTGGTGAAGCATGGTGATGAGATATCCTGTGCGGTGAGCAGTGAGTGAAGGACAAAAGGTGAGAGAGTGGACAGTGAGCTTGCAGTAACAACGCTTGAAGTAAAAACCAAGTTACATTCAGGGTGGATTTTAAAACAGTGCGCTTAGGGTGCATGAGCCTATTCTCATGGTAACGCCTGTCCTAGATAATTTTATGCTCACCCATACTTCCGTGTCAGATCTTGGTATAATCCACAGATTTCAGTATATCTTTCGCCTTTGGAACGCCTGTAGCCAATGCTCTGCAAGCAGCTTGTTTTCATGAAACAGGAAACATGCTCATCTTAGAGCTTACCACGTGGTAGGAACTTCAGGATACTCCTTCTTGCTGATCTTGAGATCATCGTATACGGAGTCGTCACCTGATGACCCATTAGTACCTGCATTGCCAAATTTTAGAGTAAGAACCTACCGTGGAGATGCTCTACACGGAGCTCATCTTCGTGCTCAAGCTTCTCAATCTCTTCCTGGGGTGTTTCCTTATCATGCTTCTTATCCTTTGTGGTGGGCTCGACGCCCGATTCCATTTTCTCACCAATGAGAAGAATCTGACAGTACTCATAGTCTAGATACTTTGGCTTCGCCTCGACCCAAGCCAAGCCACGAAACTCTTCGATGAATCTGCCAGTGGTTAGTTATAGCAACAAGTTGGAATACTGCTACGCACTCTTTGGGGAAATCGGGTTTTTGGGGGAGCTGAGCCTGGGCAGGTCCACTCCGCTCAGGGTTCTTGACGCTGATAATGAAGCTGCCCTGGTCCTTGATACCGAGATCGTCTTGCACCTCGCCAAGTTCTGATGGGATAGTAGTCGAATAGACGAGGTGAGAAGTGCGGTCCTCAGTACGTGTGATTGCATATACGCCCTCAGCCACTGGCGCGACAGGCTCAGTGCGCCGAGTACCCTGTGTCTTTGTGTTGTACTCGTCCGCGCCGAAGAAGCTTTCCTTCAACTCTTTGATCGATACATTTGCCTTTTCCACAAAAGCCATGAAGCGATCGTTGTGCGACTTGGGGAAGACTTTCTTAGGAAGTGCGAACAAACGATTGTTATTGCTATCCGCGAGCGGGCCGTCGCCGAGTTTGGCACCCAGTGGCATGGGTCGCAGGACGAAGAATGTGCGCTGAAGATCGCCTACGCTTTCTGAATCCTCGATACCGACACGATTTCGGGTAAAGAAGTAGATGACGCCCTTCTCAAGGATGTTTGACGGTATTTGCTTTTCGCGCTGGGAAGATTCCTCAACCGCGCCTCCTTCATTGGTAATAGATTCCTTTACGGGGCCGCCCGGGGAATCTGGCTTTGCGTCATCGCCAGTCGACAATGCTTTCGCATCACTCGTCTCGACCAGGTCTTCGTCGACATGCTCTCCGTCTCCTTCTTTGCCCAGATCCATCGTCTCCTCAATGGTGGTTTGTTTTGGTGCTTTTGTCTGACGCTTCGGAGATGGCTCGACTTCAGGCTTCCTCTTGGTACCAGCTGCGGCATCGCTGCCTTTGGACGGGCTTGACATGTCGCCGTTGTTGCTTGTGGAAGAGCGAGTTCCTACCATGGCTGCGGGTATAGGCTCAATGTAAGAAGACGTGAAATGTTTGTTGATTGCAGAGTGAGAGACGAAAATGAGAAAAGAAACAGCAAATGGGCAAATGCTCGCGCTGGAAGTTTGCTATGGTCGCGTCGCGTGGGTGGTGACGTCAATGGAGCCATGAGCACATCAACGCGTCAGGGAGGCACGTGCAGGCAGAGCAAAGTTGAAAGCAAGCAGCGTGCTTGTCATGGTCTAGGATGTAATGCCACTATGCTTGTCGATGGTGCACTTGAAATGCACCCATCCTAATTTACTTGTTCTATAGGTGATTTTGACGTGCTGATACTGCGGATTTTATAACGCAATAGAGTATCTGTAGAAGATAGTGGTAAGGTACTACATCTTGGACATAATAAGCGAGCACTAATACATACTATAAATACATACAACGAGCGGCAGCCTTTAGCAGATACAAGAGGAAACTATACAAAATCAGGCTTACCGTGGCTTTAGGCAGTTGCATATAATCGTCGACGTAAAGCGAACGACTTGGGATCCCACCCTGGGAAATCTATAATGAGACCCTACACCAATGTAATTCGAAATCAATGACTGTTCAGCGAAGTGACCTTCACACCGAATGCCAATCGAAAATAGTACCTCTTCAACCGGACTTTTCGAGAAAGTCTTTGATGCCCTCTGCTATGCCTTCCGGGCTAGGCTTGGCTGCACATACGTCGGGAGTGAAGCCGAACTGTCGTATGAGATAGTCGCGAGTAGTCGGGCCGATGGTAGCGACGAGTATATCCCTCTGCTCGGTAGACGCCTTTGCTCTGTCAGTCGCGGGATCCAAAAGGCCCAGGCTCTCGAGCATGGAGTGACATCCGGTTGGAGAAAAGACAACAACCCATTGGTGCTTGCAGCCTCTCGCGGCATTGCCCTGCCAGATGGCCGAGAAGTTGTCCTTGAAAGACTGCATCTTTGTGGTCTCGTATATAACCAATTCATCTACTCTGGCCCTGGTGTTCGGCTCCAGCTGCCCTGATTGGAGCGTCTCTGGTATTATATCCCTGCGTTTATCCCCGACCATGAACAGTACTGGTGGGTTGGGGCCATCTGGAAACAGGGCGTTGTAGTGTCGCAAGATGAATGCAGCGAGGGCTTCGCCGTTACCCGACTCCTCGCCCAGAATGGGGCATTTGAGTCCTAGGGACCGCAGTCCACGGGCGGTTGCGGGGCCTACGACATAGAGCGGCAGGCTCTCTGGAAGCACGTCGTCGATTTGGTGGATGCCTTGGGAGCGAATCTCCCCCACGACCTCGGCGAAGGCCTCGACAGCGCGCTGCGAGGTGAATATGAGCGCACCGTAGGTCCCCAGGCCCTGCTGCGACTTTGGCACGAAGCCCCGGTTGACGACATGCTGGTGCACCTCGCGGAGGGCTTCTCGCTTGAATCTGTGCTCGAGAACAGGCACAAAGACCGGATCGTAGCGGCCGCCGTCGAAACTGAGAAACAGCTCCTCGTATGTGTCGGTGGGGGCTGACTTTGTCTTGAGTAGGAGGAGGGGTATGCTACCCCGCGCTTGCTCGGCCATGGTGTTTGGCTGGTGAGTGCAGAAGTGCAGGTCGAGGGGCCCTGGTGGACGCACATGTTGGACGGCACTAGGAAATAGCCCCGTCCGCTAAAATTCGGGAAAAGTTGCCAGCAATCCGCGGTTCACTCGAGACCCTCGAATTTAATAGTTGTCCTCCCCACCGCTCTGCCCGTCCACCCTCTCTGCCTTTGGCGGCCACCGCAACCCGCGCACACTCTCCCCCCCCACGGCCGCATCCCCCCAGTCAGCCCCTCAATCCAATTGACTGCACAGCCAGCATGGCCGACGTTGCATCTTCCGCCGCGAAGACGGCCACCACCAACGGCTCCGCCCCACAGGGCAAGCAGCACGTTGTCAAGCCCGAGAAGCCCGACGAGGAAAAGTACAAGGCCGACCTCGCCAAGGCCGAGAAGGAGCATGCCGCCGCCCAGGAGAAGCTGGTGAGTGCGTCGGGGCTGCGGCGCCTGCAAATATCATCGCCTGCCGCCAGCGTGTGCTGACCATCGCCAGAACGCCTGCAAGGCCAAGCTCGACCTCGCCAAGCCGAACAACAAGGACTCGCCCAATGCCAAACGCCAGCAGGAGCTCAAGACGGAACTCAACGCCATCCGCCAGACGCAGCAGGGCAACAAGTCGGGCCGCAATGCCATCTTCGAGAAGATCAAGAAGCTCGACGAGCAGCTCAAGCAGCAGCTGAACGAGCTGAAGACGGCAAAGGGCAAGTCGAGCTACAAGTCGGTCGAGGAGATTGACTCGGAGATTGCGCGCCTGCAGAAGCAGGTGGACGGCGGCATGATGAAGCTGGTGGACGAGAAGAAGGCCCTGGCCGAGATCAGCTCGCTCAACAAGGCCAAGAAGAACTTTTCCGGCTTCGAGGCCCAGCAGAAGAAGATTGACGACATCAAGGCCCAGATTGCCGAGCAGAAGAAGCTCTTGGACGACCCCGAGAACAAGGCCCTCAGCGACAAGTACACGACGTTCCAGACGGAACTCGATGCTCTCAAGGCCGAGCAAGACGAGGCTTTCAAGAACCTGCGGACGCTTCGTGAGCAGACGGACAAGGCGCGCGCCGAGCAGCAAGACAAGTACCAGGCACGGAAAGACCTCAAGGACGCCTACTTCCAGCAGCTGCGCGCATTCAAGACGTATGAGTCCGAGGCCCGCAAGATTCGCTTCGAGAAGAGGCGCCAGGAGCAGCTCCAGTACGTTGCCAGCAAGCGCAAGGAGGCCGCCAGCAAGCGTCTCGAGGAGGCCAGCACGCCCGCCTACGGCGACGAAATCATTGCCGCCGAAGGCCTGATCCGTCACTTCGACCCCTCTGCCCTCCCTCCCAAGGAGACGACCGCCGCCAGCAAGTTTGCCGCCTCGGCTCAGCGCACTGTCGACGAGTCTGGCATGAAGGGCACCCGCATATCCAAGAAGGACTCCGAGGAAGAGAACTACTTCATCGGTACTGGTGGAAAGAAGGGCAAGAAGGGCAAGAAGGGCGGTGCCAGCTCTGCCCCCGCCAAATTCAACCTTAACATTGGCATCATCGAAGAGCTGGCCAAGGTTGGCGTCGAGGCTCCCTCGAGCCAAGAAGACGTGCCTGCCACTGTTGAGAAGCTCAAGGCCAAGCTTGCGCACTGGAAAGAGGACCAGGACCGCAAGACCAAGGAGGTAAGTTTGACTGCATCACTGTGCTACTTGACACACAGCTAACGCGGACAACAGAACATTGCCAAGGCGCAAAAGGAGATTGAGCGTCTTGAGGCTGAAGAGGCCGAGGAAGAAGCAAGCGGTAGCACTGACACTGCCCGCAAGCCTGCGCAAAAGAACCAGGCCGTCAATGGCAGTGCCTCGGCAGAGGCGGAGCTCGCCCAAGAGCAGGACGCTGCCGCCGACGCTGCTGAGGATCTCAAGAAGGCGTCGCTCGAGGACAAGGAGGCTCCGGCTGACGCATAGAGCATACGGCATGCCGCTTGTCACCAGGGGTCTAGCCCCTCGAAAATTGGGTCACATATCCGAGACATCTGCACAGTCTAGGATCCAGCCCGCTTTTTCATTTTTAGCTTGGAATCGGTACATTCTCCGCTGTTGTTTACAGGATACCAACTTGGCATTGGACGGGGTCACGGCGCGGAGTACGATATTCTTCTTCTGGATGTACAGCAGATCTAGATGGCCAATATCACTATCTAATGTTGTCATGCCTCTGCTACATGATGTGTCAAGACGTGAATACACGGACGGGCTGCCGGCTGCGTCATGTTCAAGCTGACGTTTCTTTTTGTCGCCAGCCACAATCACAGTTGTGGTACCTGAGCCATTGCTCGGGCACATGACGCAACTGCAGATCCTTGGGGTGAGACCAGTGCCAGTGCCAGAACCATTGCCTAAAGCAGACGCGGTCGATTGCCTGATTGCCCATCCCCACATGGTAGCGGGGTGGGTAGACAAAGCGATATTACATGACGTCACTATAGTGTTGGTCACTACATAGTCTGGAGACGTCCCAAGCGGCCAGGACCTCACCCCTCCAGCTACCAACACTCACCAACCAAAGGTATGCTTGCATCTCGTTTCCTCCATCGTTGTGTTGTCGCAGGGAGGGCAGGGAGAGGCCCACGAGCATTGTGTGCACAGAAGCTGACGCCGTTCTCGCAGCCACCAAACCTACTCGTCACTCAACCCGTTTTCTCCATCACTAGCTCCAACATGTCTGGCTTCAGCAATGCGGATACCGGTTCCAAGACGGCGGACCCTTATACGCAGAAGAACCTCGAGGAGCCTTCCCTGAAGGAGAAGGTCGAGGACCTGTTCACGTTTGTCGACAAGACCAAGTTTTGCCTGTTGACGACACAGGTTGCGGATAGCGACCTTTTGGCGTCAAGAGCCATGGCACTCGCTGCCAAGGTAGGAAGGCGTGCAGTTGTATTGCTCTAGCAGTGCTGACACATGGACAGGAAGGACACGGCTTCGATCTCCTCTTCCACACCAACACTGAGTCTGGCAAGACGGACGACCTCAAGGAGCACAAGTCAGTCAACATTGGCTTCATCAACAACTCGGGCGAGTGGGCCTCGATCTCTGGGCACGCATCCATCGAGACGGACCGCGAGGTTGTCCGCAAGCACTACTCGCCAGCGCTCAAGGCGTGGATTGGCGATCTGGGCGATGGCACACACGACGGCGGACCAGAAGACCCGCGTATTGGCATTATCCGGGTCAAGGCCAGCACGGCGCAGTACGCCATCTCCAAGAAGACGCAGATTGGCGGGTTCGTGGAGCTAGCCAAGGGTATCGCGACGGGAGAGTCTCCAAGCATAAACAAGCTTCGTCAGATTTCCGAGGCGGAGATCCAACAGTACCGGTCTCAGTAGGCGCGGGGCACTTGACAGATTAAAGGTTGACGACTGTATAATTCTATAGTATGACTATGCTAGCTTAGCTACGGCTAAAGTAATGAAAGAAAAATCACGGCAGCAAAATGGGTTGCTGCTAGCGGTGCCAACAATTGTGTCAATGATGATGTGAGACTGCAACGGGAAACGTGACGTCATATCAACATGTTTTCACATGCGCAAAAGCACGCCAAAGGTGCAAAGGTCGCGCGACATGCATAAAGGCGACGACAAGCAGCTCTCCAACAAGCCACGCCTTTCTGCACCACCACGATAGTCGCCGAAATGGAAGACCCGGGTTTGTTCTCATTTTCTTGTACGCATGCACGATTGATTGCTAACAGCAAGTTCCCCCCCCCCCCAGTCAAGGAGATTCCCGCAGTCATCCACCTCCTCACGCAATCGCCGCCGTCGATCCAGCGCGCAGCAATCGACAAGTACTTTACGCCCGACGCGGAGTTCTCGCATCCGCTGTGTCGAACGTGGAGCTGGCCCAACTCGCGGGGGCTGATCCAGGCGGTTTACAGGTGGTACAAGATTCTCAGTCCGCGCATCGACTTGACGGTGCAGAGTGTGGGTATGTGTGGATATAAAGTATAGCGTATACTTATGTGGATATTGATACTGATGATGGGATGGTTTTTCAACAACAGCATTCGATGAGGCGAATATGACGCTCTATGTTACACTCTTTCAGGTGTTCCGCATCTGGGCGGTTCCTTTCTACTATGCGCCGGCGCGGCTCACGACGGTGCTTAGTCTGCGGTATTCGGCGGGCATGGGCAGGTATTACATCACAAAGCAGGAGGATCTGTACCAGGTGGATCAGTGGATACGGTTTATTGCGCCGGGCGGGTGGGTGGTGATCTGGATGCTGCAGGCGTGGGCGACGGTGGCGTGCGTGCTGGGGACGTGGGTGCTGTGGCCGGTGACATGGGGCGAGGAGCACTGGGGCTGGGGCGAGGGCGTGGGCATGTCGAGCAGGCGGCGGGCAGTGAAGACGGGGGGAAAGGAGGGCTCGGTCAGGGGCGATGGGCTTGCGGACGACGACGTCTTGGACAGGACGACGTTACGAGCCAAGGTTATTGGGTGATGGTGCAAGAGGGCCGTGAAATTGCAGTGCCGTCTGCTCGACCACGATTCGGCATGTCGACCCGTTGGACTACTCTAGTCGACGTGTTCAGCGCCGATCGCTTGACGCAAGCCCCCGCGAGTAGCGCGTACAAGCCAGCAAGGCCGAACCAATGTTTGCAGATGAACAGGCAGCAGCCGCCCATGAGACGGGCAAAGCGAGAGACAGGCTGACGCAAGCAGCAAGCGTGTGGCTGGCCTCCAAGTCGTGTGGTATGGCGCTTACTACGTGTAGGTGTGTGTGTGTGTGTACTACAGCTACTACTGTATACTTTGTATGTATGTGTGTGCTGGCGCGGGTTGCATGCCGCGGCCTTGTCCCAAGGTACTATAGATAACGAGCCAAGAATAGAGTAGTAGGCGGTGGTGTGGGTGCGCTGAAACGGTTCCTGGGTCAGACGTACGAGTGTCTCGGGTAATGGGTATTCTGGTGCCGATGGCGACCTCTGTGCCGGGGCGGCATGGCAGTTTGAAACGACGGGCCACAAGGGGCATGAATTGCCATGGTGGTCGAATTCTGCTCGCCTTGTGGGATGCGAGACTTTGCGTGTAAACGGCTGGGTTTGAGAGGCGTGGAGCCCGGGCTTCGAGTTCGTATGGTACAGTGGTGGTAGGGGGCTGCTCAGGCGGGCTGAGATGCAAAGCTTGTCCACCAGTCAGTTGGGTGCAGCCACACGGTTCGGCGGACAGCCCCCAGCCCGCAGCCGAGTTGACGTGGCCTTGGTTGGGCATGGCCGCCTGCATGTGCATGTGCATGTGCATCTGGGGGAGCGAGAGGGCGAGAGGCAGCAGTAGCAGTAGCAGTAGGAAGGCTGAAGTGGGTGAGCATCGGGATTGCTGTCGCCATCCCCATCCTGGCCATGGGCGTCGATCGGTTTAGCACAAGGCGAAGGGCAGAGAAAGGCACTGGGCCCACGTGGTGGGGAACAAAAGGTCGCTTGCCGGCGTCTCTGCACCGCCATTGGGCAGCGCCCGCGCACTTCCGCTCCACACATGCGAGTGACGAGATTGTTGCTTTGCAGCTGCTCGGTGCATTCTTCTTGTTTTTTTTCTCTTTCTTCCTCTTCTTTTCTTTCTTTTTTCTTCTTCTTCTTCTTCTTCTTCTGCTCGCTGCTGCGGTGGTGCGGCTGGGCGTGGGCGCCCGCTTTGTTCTCGTCCTCTACATGCACACCACGTCCGTTGCCATGGTCATGGCGTGCACCAGCTGGAGCAGCCCGCAGCCGTCCAGGCGTACCACTACCGCTGTTACTCATGCCTTTTCGTCCGTCTCGTCGCACCGCGTGTGCCATTGAGCGCTCCAGCATGCACGGCGTCGCACGCTGCTTAGCATCCCACAGCACGCACTCTTCCCGTCTGCGGCCGGCCCTCTGCCCCATTGCTGCCAAGACCACATACACATACATACATACATACACATACTACACATTGATACAAGCACCGCCTTCCGCTGGCGACGGCCGGGCCCCGCAGGCAGTTGCCGTAGCATGGTGCGTTGCTCGTGAAACCACTGCCTCTTTGCCCTCCACCCGCTCGCTGCCAGTGTTGTCGAGACTGACCTGTACGTCGTATGTTGCAGTCGGACCGTTCCTCGTCGTCGTCGTTGGAGGGCTCGCACTCTCCCCCACGACATCGCAACACTGCCGCCGACGACGACCCGCAGTATCACTACGAAAGCATCCAAGACACCCAAGCCGGTGCGCCTGCTAGTCCACTCCACACGCGACGCAGGCCATCCCGGACCACGTCGGGCGCCAAAGCTTCCCCGCGCTCAGCCTCCCCTCCCTACACCGACGACCAGCACCAAGGCGATAAGAAGGCCAAACCACCTCGAAACTCTCTCAAGAAGCTTCTCCGACGCGACTCGCATCACGCCGAGTTGTCGCCCGCGCCCCGAGGCGGACACGACGGTCCCGACGACGAGGAAAGCACCGTAGGATACATTCCCAGGCTGGGTCCGATACGAGAGAGAAGGACCAGCATGCAATCCAGACGTCGAGCCAGCTCCACCGTCAGCTCCACCGGCAATCCGAAAGCGCTGCGTCGGCGACGTACAGAAGACAGTGCTGTGAGCCGCTCACGCGGCCAGCGCAAGCATGCTTCTACACACCGCTCCGGTGGAAAGCTCGCACAGCTCACCGAACCTTCTTCAGCGTCCAGCGTCTCCCAGCTGTCCGGCAGCTCCAGTGGCAGCAATTCCACCGTCACGCTGAGATACCAGGACGACCACAACCAGACATACCACTACGAGGCGCCGGGAGAGAGGCCCAGTTTCGCCATGCCAGGCTCCCAAGTGTCGAGTGCTGCCGCCATGTCAGACGTCTTCAAGTATCTAGAGTCGGACGATGGCGCTACAAGCCTTGCGTCTACAGACATACAGACGGTGCTCTCGTCGACGACGGCAACAAGTGGTCCTTCTTTCCCCTCTACCGCCCCCTCTACGGCTCCTAGTGATGGTGGCTTGGGCACTGAAGGCCCATTCATGGCGGCAGATTCTCGGCTTGCTGCTGGCCCGAATGCTACCTCACAGACAGCAGCACAGACTGCTGGCCCCACTGTGCCTCATTTGCCTCACCAAGAATTCCGTAAATTCAAGAAGCCCCTCTATGCGAGCAGCTTTGTGCATGGCCCCAGAAACGATGACGAGGAGCCGCCAGACCAGAGCGGAGAGAGCGAGGGAAGCTATACGGACAGCGAGACAGAGACGGAGACAGAGACGGAAGATGGCAATGAGCCTTCCAAGGCCGCTGCAAGTGAAGCTGCTTCTTCTGCTGCTGCTGCTGCTTCTTCTCCTCAAACTCCATCTACGGCTGCCAGCCAGAATAATGATGTTCACGCCAAGCGACTCCGGCAGCAGGAACGCGAGCTGGCCAATCACATTCTGAAAAACCCGAAGCCGCAAAAGGAGTCGCAGGCCAATGCAGGCACGTCGACGCCTACTACTCAGGCCTATCCGCACGCGCCCATGCCCATGTATAGCCCCCAGGTCTTGTACCCGGCTGCCTCGCCATCCGTGGTGGGTACGCCCAACCCGCCACAGGGCTGGCCACCCATGCCCTCGCCGTTCCCAACTCCGCTGGCCATTGGCTATGCGCCCCATCAGTCGCCCAAGACGGTGCCTGCGTATCCGCATAGCATGGTCAAACAGCACATGCCACCATTGCCCTTTTCGCCTCATCACGCGCAACCACAAAGGTATCAGCAACATGCATCATCACCACCACCACTGCCATCAACAACAACAACCACTACGGACCAGGCCAAGCCGCCCATGACGGGCTATGCGCTGCTGGCCGACGAGCTTAGCGCAGCCTCGGCAGACAACACCGCCCCGAGAGAGAGGGCTAACATTGTGCCCGTGTACCGCAAGTTTGAGCACCTGAATCACCGCGTGTTACTGCACCTGCAAGACGAGACGTGTGAGCTCGAGGAAGAGCTGCGTCGCCTCGACGAGTGCATTGCCCACCTGTCGCCCAAGGACCCGTCAGGCTATGCATATCCCGCGTCGAGGCGAAACGACGCTCGCTACGGCGGCGAGTTGCACTTTAAGCGCACTGAACTGCTAGGCCGCATTTTCCAGAAACTCGAGCAGTATAGTGAGTCGTCATGTTCGATTTTTTCTTTCTTCTCTCTTGTTTTACGATAGATCGCCGCTACTAGGCTGCTTACTGTGTAGGGTGTGTAGGCAAAAGGCGTTTTGCTAACCCCTTCTCAGACAAGGCCCTGGCCTCGTTTAGCAGCATTTCGAGGCACCTTGGCCCAGCCAGCCCAAACGACATTGAGAATTACCGCGAGTGGATGGATCAACATGAACCCATTGATTATGCAGAATCCCTGTTCCTCGAGCGAGACGCCGATCTCGTAGCCATTCCACGGAAGACATCATCGCCATCATCATCATCGCCATCGTCATCATCGTCATCATCATCATCATCATCATCATCATCATCAGTCAGCACCACCACCGCCGCTGCCCAAGAGGGCCGACAACACTACCCAGCTGCCGTGTGGTTCCCACTAATGCTTATTCTACCACTCATGTCCTTTGCCATAGTGCCGAGCCTGCTAGGGCGTCTGATTGTTATCGCGGCCATGGTTGGCGTGCAACTAAAAATGGTCACGTCGGCACCCGAGCTCAAAAGCTTCTTGTCCGCCAAAGACTGGACGACTGCCGCGTCCGTGTAAGTGTTTCCGTCTCTTGTAGTATGTCTAGTGGGATAGTGCCCTCGGCCACTGCATGCTCCGCTCCAATCATGCCGTTGCGTCTGCGCCCGCCAGGCTGACTAAAAGCCTACGGAGTTGCAACGTCCGCGGGGCTGAAGCGCCAAGTGCATACTGTGTAATTGCAGTGCCTCTGTGCTTGATCCAATGGCGGCGTCATGTGCATTCACGCATTCACATGGACATGCGGATTGCGTGCACGTTTACCCGGTGGGACGCTGGCACGCATCCTTTGCGCACGCGTTTGGGCCGTTTCTTGGGGTGGTTGCTGTGGTTCAAGAGTAAGCTAACGCAGGCAGATATTTCGGGCTGAATGTGCTCCTTGCGGGCGTGGTGCGTTGACGAGCCTGACTCGCAAGTGGAGTAGCTAGGCGCGATGATCGCCATCGTTTTGCACGCACGCCCCCAGGCACACTGCGCGCAGTGCAATCCAGCACACCTGCACGCGCGCGCCCAGCGCCAGCCAGGCCGCGCGAAGCAAAAAAAGTGTGGAGTTGTGCCGCATGCCGTTTGGCTGCATATTTTGTTTTGGGCGTATGGCGTCATTTGACAGAGAATAATGGTTCCCTTGCTTTTTGTTGCTCCATTGGCGTTCGCAGGTGTTCATGGTGGTATATGCCGGCAGGGCGCGGCATCCATACATTAGCGGGCGGTGCTTAGAAGAGGGTGTGCTGCGATTCGAGGCGGCAGAGTCGCTTAGGCTGATTGACCTTGGGGAAAGATTATACGCGGGTTTATCAGTCGATTTTGCCCCATGGCTCGCGGCTAGGTTCAAGCCGTGTTCCCGCCCAGCAGAGCAGCGCAGCGCAGCGCAGCGCATCACACTATCGAGCTTACACTGGATGGGTGAGTGGGTGGTGGTGGTGTGGCACCGACAGGCGGGCAGGCGGGTTGCGACAGGCGCATGGGGGGGGCGGAGGGCGGAGGGGTGAGTGACGACATTAATAGACATGGAACGCTTTAGGTAGTGGTGCCGCTGGTCGCAATCATGTGGCGTAGGCGGATGGATCTGGATACATAGTTTGGTATGCGCACTAGTCATGGCTGTCAGTTGGGGGATGGCGATAATAGTGCATTTGTGTAAGACGTGTGTGCCACGCGCGTTTCTCCTTGATGAGATCTGAACAGGTGCATCGGACCGAAGGGAGGTTGACGACGCATGGAGCTGCTGATCAGTGACGGCATGTTGTTTATCGGCATTTGCACCGAGAGAATTCACGCAACCGCAGACACCCGCCCAGCAGCACAAGTCAGGCCAGGTGCAGCGGGAGCTCGGGCGCCGCGAGGGGAGCTGCGAGGGGTTTGGGCGTGGGCGTGTTGAAGTTCCCATTACAACGGACGAGCCGGGTGCATTGTGCTTGGTTGCTTGGGACGCATGCGGCGGCAGTGTGTGTGTGTGTGTGTGTGTGTGTGTGTGTATCTGTCAGTCAGTCAGTCAGTCAGTCGGCATGCCCGCCCCCCGGCCAGCTGCCTCTCCACACGTCGTGCGGCCGCATTGCCGTGGGTTGGACGCCAAAACAAGGCGCGTCGAGTGGGCGTGTATCTCTGGCCGGCACTGCGCCAGATAGAGCCAAGTCCTGGGGGCATGCCCGATGGCCGTGTGAGACGGATGGGCATGAGGAGGAGGAGGACGAGGGGCAGAGGAGGGAGGGGGAGGGGGAGGGGGATGAGCAAGCGGCGGCGGCGGCGGCAACAACAGCAGTGTAGTGGTGGTGGTGGTGGTGCTAGTGCTAGTAGCAGCAAAACGTCGGGGCGGACGAGGCAGCAGCAGCGACTAGTCGATAATACTTGTACATAGTTCCTGGGGCGGCTGACGGGCGGCGATGGGTGGTGGTGGGTGGGAGTCGATACGGGCGGGCTAGCAGGAGGTTGCTAGCGGACTACTAGCCAGGAACGAGCGGCGTCGCTTGGGAGCGGGGCTTGACCTCTTTGGGCGCAGAGGGCCGGGGGTTAGGGGAAATTGAGCGGCAGCTGACCAGAGTTTCAGAAGTCGCCCTGGCCTTCCCTGTCGCTTTTGGGCGTGTGCCTGTGCCTGTGCCTGTGCCGGAGCCTGTCGGTGCCTGTGCCTGCAAAGGCGCGTGCAGAGAGAGAGCGGCGAGAGAGAGAGCGGCGACCCCTTGTGAAGCTCTCCCTAGCCCTACGCTGCCCTCCCAACAGTCACAGCGCCGCGTGCACACAGCGTAATACCAGAGACACGGCTAGCAGCACGACATCGACACGCACACGCACACGCACACGCACGCACAACCGCACAACCGCACAACCACACAACCACACACCACACGTGCACGCCCACACCCACACCCATACCCGCGCCCACATACACGCATACACGCCGGGCGCCGTTGCTGCTGAGGCCCCCTCCGCCCCCCTCCCCCTCCCCCTCTCCCTCTCTCTCCCCCCTCACTCTCACACCCACCCCCCCAGTCGCTCGTTCGTGCCCTATCTGCGACGAGCCTGCCCGTCGGTCTGCCTGTCTGCCCGTTCACCCCCCCTCGTCGGCCGTCCCACACGCGCCTGCAGCAGCAGCGGCCTCGTGCATGCTCTCCCCACGCCTGGCCCACTTCTCACCCATTAGCCCATACCGACTCGAGCGACTGAAACATCTGCTCCTTCCCGCCCACCCATCGCTCCTGCCCGGTGTCCTTGACCTGCCAACGCCGCATCAACACAATACGCGACCGCCCACCACCCTCTCCGACACAGACATCCATCCCCCCCCCTCCCCACACGCCACTTGCTCTTGTGCCTGTCTGTCCTGTCCGCTCGCTGCCTCTCCCGTGCCTGTCCTGTCCCGTCCTGTCCTGTCCCGCCCGTCCGTCCGTCCGTCCACGTAGCCCAGCACGCCCAAACCCAGCACCGCGCCCGCTCTTCTGGAATGTCGCATCTGCACCACTGCCCACCACACGCCGTCTGAGCTTGCCCCCCCGCACCAGTCGCGTCCCTGGCACCCGCGACACACGATTCGCCCTCGCCCACGCCCACGCCGTCGCCGCCCGCCGCCCGCCGCTGCTTCCCACGACACCAACGCGAATAATTCGGCCTGCATCGCCTTCTCCTGCTTGTTCGCGACAAAGCCTCCTCACTAATAGCCGAGCTTTTGCTGTCACAGACTCGCTGGACGGGCCCTCCCGCTGCAATTCCACCGTCGACGCGGATCGACCGCCCTCCACGCCGTGGCGCACAAAGAAAATCTCCCCTTTGCCCTGACGCTTTGCTATTTCGCTAGCGCCGCAACATACCCTCACGCTCCCTTTCTGGCTCGCAGCCCAGCCCACCCGACCCCCCAGCGACGCCCGCCATGGCCGTCTCCATGCTACACGCCCCCTCGCGGGCTTCCACGTCGTCGTCGTCGTCGTTTATCCCCGTCTCGCGCCAGAACACAATGTCGTCGCACGACGGTTCGCGCTCGGTGCGCCAATCCAAGCGCTACTCGGTCACGGCCCTGTACCTGTCCATGTCGGCAAAGGACAAGGAGCTGGAGATTGAAGATGACCTGGCAAGAGGTACGCCGGCCCCCCGCGAGAGCGCCCTTGCTCCGTCTCCGCAAAGCTGACTCTGTACACAGCGCAAAAGGTCCTGCGAGAACTAAAGGCCAAGATCTCGTCGCAATCCAAGAAGAACTTTGTCCTCGAGAAGGATGTGCGCTATCTCGACTCGCGGATAGCCCTGCTGATCCAGAACCGCATGGCGCTGGAAGAGGTGCGTCTATGCCAGGCATGCGCACGAATACATTCATACTGACTGGTGCATGCAGCAAAACGAAGTCGCAGACCACCTCGCAGACGGCCTTGAACTGCAAGAAGGCTTCTTCCCCAACGACGAAAAGACACAAAAGTACGGCAACCTGCTCTTCCTCCTCCAGTCGGAACCTCGACACATTGCACACCTGTGCCGGCTCGTCTCCATGGCCGAAATCGATGCGCTGCTGCAGACGGTCATGTTCACAATCTACGGAAATCAATACGAGAGTCGAGAAGAGCATCTGCTGTTGACCATGTTTCAGGTAGGTTGCGCATCTGGGCTCGGGAGATCATAGCTAACTGTTCTATAGTCTGTCCTTACGTATCAGTTCGACAATACCCCGGACTATAGCTCGCTACTACGCGCCAACACCCCCGTCTCGCGCATGATGACTACATATACCCGCCGAGGGCCTGGTCAAAGCTACCTCAAGGTGGTGTTGCAGGATAGCATTAACTCCCTCATTGAGCTCAAGGATCTGGACCTGGAAATCAACCCCCTCAAGGTGTATGAGAAGATGGTGACTGAGCTGGAGCTCCAAGGAAACCTGCCGCCCAATCTACCCAAGGGAGTCACTGCCGAGGAAGCCGCGGAGAACGAGACGGTGCAGAATATCATCACGCCCCGGGTAAACATGCTCATGGAAATTGCCAACAATTTCCTCACAACGATTATCAAAGGCCTCGAGGAGACACCATATGGCATCCGATGGATTTGCAAGCAGATTCGAAGTCTGTCGAGACGAAAGTACCCGGATGCCCAAGACCAGACCGTGTGCACACTGATTGGCGGCTTCTTTTTCCTGCGCTTCATCAACCCAGCCATTGTCACGCCAAGGTCATATATGCTCATTGACGTGCTGCCAGCGGAGAACCCCAAGCGAACACTGACATATATTGCCAAGATGCTGCAGAACCTGGCCAACAAGCCGTCGTATGCAAAGGAGCCGTACATGGTCAAACTGCAGCCTTTTATCCACCAGAACAAGGAGCGCATCAACAAGTTTCTGCTCGACCTGTGCGAAGTGCAGGACTTTTACGACACACTGGAGATGGACAATTACGTTGCCTTGTCCAAGAAGGACCTGGAGCTTTCGATTACGCTCAATGAAGTGTATGCCACGCATGCGCTCTTGGAGCGACACGCAGCAGAACTCGTAGGTGTAGCACGGTATGCATGACGGGCAGTGTACTAACGCCATGGCAGGCAAAAGAGGACAGCTCGCATTTGGGCGTCATTCTTCAAGAGCTGGGACCGGCGCCGGCTCAGCTTCCGCGCAAAGAGAACAGGGCCATCAATCTTCCGCTATTCAGCAAGTGGGAGACACCGCTCGACGACCTGACGGCTGCGCTCGATATTACGCAGGAAGAGATTTTCTTCATGGAGGCCAAGTCTACGTTTGTGATGATTCTCCGCTCACTACCTGCCAACTCGTCCATCACGCGACGGCCACTCCGACTGGACCGAATTGCCGAAGCGGCTGCGACGACCAAGAACGACTCGGTCATGGTCAAGAAGGGCATCCGCAGCATGGAGCTACTGAGCCAACTACAGGATGCTGGCGTGATTGACAAGGAGGACGGGTTTTCGCTGCTCCGAGACGAGGTGGAGCAAGAGCTTGTGCACCTGGGATCCATGAAGGATAAGGTGATTGAGGAAACCAAGAAGCTCGAGGAAGTTTTCCGGACGATCCGAGACCACAACGGGTTCCTGGTGAGCCAGCTGGACACGTACAAGTCATATCTGCACAACGTGCGCAGCCAGTCGGAGGGCAAGACGCGGAAGCAGCAAAAGCACCAGGTACTGGGGCCGTACAAGTTTACCCACCAGCAGCTGGAGCGAGAGGGCGTGATCCAGAAGAGCAATGTGCCGGAGAATAGGAGAGCCAACATTTACTTCAACTTCACGAGCCCGCTGCCCGGGACGTTTGTGATTTCGCTGCACTACAAAGGACGCAACCGCGGGCTTTTGGAACTGGATCTCAAGCTGGACGACTTGCTGGAGATGCAAAAGGATAACCAAGAAGACCTGGACCTGGAGTATGTTCAATTCAACGTCAGCAAGGTGCTGATCCTCCTCAACAAGCGCTTCGCTCGCAAGAAGGGATGGTAGATTCGTCTTCTCCCAGCGCGCGACACGTCACGAAACATGTACGATACCCCCGATTGTCACTACGTATTCCCCGCTGTTTGACGCCCGCACCACCGACGCTTACGCTCTCTCACATTTTTTTTCTCTTGCCCAATCTTTGAGCGCGGTTGCATCTACGAAGCATTCATTCGCATCTTGGCGCCGGAGTATGGGAGTCGGTTGGGCGCTGGTTTTTGCTTGGTTTTTTTTGTTTTGTTTTGATTGATTGATTGATTTACTTGGGAGGATACCCTGGATGGCGAAGACGGCATAGTTGCAATATGGTCGTCTGCTCGGGCGGGTTTTGACTCACCACGATGAAAGTGGGGGAGGGGGTTGGGGGGGTTCTGGTGTTATTATCTTTTTTTTTCTATTTATTTCTTCTGACGCTGGTATTGAAAAGGGCAGCCGGCACACGCGATGGCGCCCTGAGCAGGATTGGAATTTTTGGAAGATACATGTTCATAGTCTCTCGTTACTAATAGGTATGGATGGGATGGTGGAGGTGGAAGGGCACGCAGTGGCGTGCGGGTACGCGAATGGCGTTTGTCTTGTTAGTGTGGTTGGATGTAGTGTTGGGGGTATGGATTTCGGCCGGACCGAGTTGCTCGTGTTAACATTTTTTATTCACGTCTTGTTTCTTTTTTCTTTTCTTGTCTGCTGTAGTTGCTTGAGCGATATCCAGATGTACAATAGGGAAGGCGAAGGCGATGGTGGTTGGGGCTGCTAGCGTACGAGGCAGTGCGCGCTACTATTTAGTTAATCCAAGGGAGCTGCAAGGCTCTTGGGTGCTTGACGGGGCTGACTCGGCATGGTGTGCATGTGTGTGGTGCTATCACTATCTTGTGGTGTCGTGGTAAGGCAGCGTTCCAGGCGGTGGCGGCGTTGTCGACATGTCGACAAGTCGGGGCGACTGGGAGTGGGCCCTGATACGCGCGCTACGTCACCTAGCGGGCATATGGCCAGGCATGCGGGATAGCTCGCATGCTGCAACAGGCTGTGTGTGTGTATCGTGGCGGGCGGCGCTGCCGACAGCAAAGAGGGCGACGAGCGCTGGCAGAGGAGGAGGAGGAGGAGGAGGAGAGGATGGTGCTGTGCTGTCTTGTGCTGTGCTGTGCTGTGCTGTGCTGCCCTCATGCACGCAGCACGGGTGCCTGTCACACGCCCGCACTAGCAAGTCGCCCTCGACCCACGGCCAGCCAGCACCCCCGGACCGATCGTCAGGCGGGAGCAAGGTGGTGCGCCCTCATTGGCCCACGCCCGCGTCTCATCGCTCTATGCTTGGCCGAGTCAGACGAGGCTGCGCGGACAACCGCCTCCCATGTCCGCTTCGTCTCTCTCCTCTTCTTCTTCTCCTCCTCCTCCTCCTCCTCCTTCGACCCCGCCCTCTCTCTCTCTCTTCCCTTGTACACTCATGGTTCTGCGTTGCTTCCGGCGTCTTCCTTGCTGCTGAATTTGCTACTGCTCCTCTCCTTGGGTCTTGGAGTTCCAGTCTTCTCTTGCTTGCCAAACCCACAGCCATGGCCTCGTCGTCCAACGCTATTGCCATTCCCCGCCGCAAGGACAAGCACCCCGCCGCTTCCCGCCACTCGGTCGACTCATCCTCTTCGTCGGCTGCTTCCACTCCCAGCACTCCCAGCTACAACCCCAATCCTCGCAACTACCACTTCTCCCCGACCGACAGCCGCTTCTCGTATCGCGGCTATGGCGGCGGGGAGAGCAGCGCCTCGTCGCCAGGCACCAGCCCCCTCTCGGCAAGCACTATGCGGCGCAGGGAGAGCTTGATGAGTGCGACGTTTTCAAAGGCGGAGCATACCGTCATTAACGTGGGAGAGGAGGAATGTCCGCGCTTGGTATGTCTTGCCGTGGCTCGAGGGACATACGCAGCTGACAGCTCGTAGATTACATGTGTGAAAGCTAGCCAGGGGTTTGATTGGAACCAGGGTATGTCTCTTTTCCCATTTTCTTGTTGCTTTCTCCAGAATGACAAAATGCTGTTGTGCCAATTGAACATGAACATGATGCTAACTGCTCGCGTGTGCCCGTGTACAGAGATCTTCCTCCCCTCGTACGCCGATTACCACTTTGATGACCTCGAGTGCCGCCAGGATCCCGTCCAGGACATTATACTCACGGACGAAGAGATCAAGAACATGTTTCCGTCATAGCCGCGCTCACGCTTGCTTTCCATCTCTGCTGTACTGCAAGGCTTCAGCAGATTACGTGGGAGACGAGGTGGCACGCTACGATATGGCGCAATGGTTTCGACATGTAAATGCTTTGGCAATCTTTATAGCACGGCGATATTGATTTTCGGGAGATATGGGCTGGGATGGCGTTTGGCACTATCAAGGCGTTGGCATGTATACTAGATAGTGGGTCACGGCGTTGTCGGATGATTCCTCACTCGCCGCTCAATGGAGAGCATCTTGATCTAGCAACGATATACGAAGAGCCTTGAATGAAATAGTACACAAAATTGATCTGCATTGCATTCTGAATCTCGCTGCTGGTAGGCTGCCTCACTGTGTAGTCGCGGCGTGGATGCGCCGGCCCCACACCTCGGCTTAATAGCGTCTTATCGATTAGGGCGGGCGCTGCAAAGTCGCGCTGCGCGGTCCAAGTTCCGCGTTGCAAACAACACCAAAACAATACCACCCGCAAGCACGACCCTCACGACACTGAATACCGGAACGAACCCCCCGCTTTCAATCGCAAAAGAATAGCCAACAATCACCACGCATACCACCCTTTTTTTCACCAACCCCACTACCACCACAACCACAAGCCATCATGGAATCCGAACACCGCAAAATCGAGCTCCAATCGCCCTCGGACCTCGCTTTCGTAACATCTCAAATCCGCGCCGCCGCCCGCCAAAAACTCGACTTACACCTACCCCCCGTGTCCGACGCCAGCGAGCCCGACGAGCTGCGCCGCAACGTCGAAGACCTCGTCGACGCCTTTGTCGCTCAAGTCCTGCACGGCATGCGGCAGAACATTAGCATCAATGGGCTGGACGTTGTATCTACATCATCTACATCATCGTCATCACAAAACGGCGGTGGCGTTGGTGTAGAAATGCACGACGGAACTGGAACTGGAACTGGAACGGCAGAAGGAGAGTCGCTGGTTGAAACCGAAGAATTCGAGCCGTTTGACGAGAAAACGCGTGTCCAGCTCGCAAAAGCTATTGCAAAGCGCGATGCGCTCATTGCCAAGATCAGTAAGCATCGGCGGGCCACACCCGCGGCGGCGGCCGAGGCGTGGAAAGACAGGTTTGAGAAGGAGAACCAGGATATGGCCAGTTTGCTGTTGCAGCATGATGCTAGTATTGGTAGTCATGCTGTGCCAGGCGTGCAGAATATCCCGCGACAAGACGACGTGGCGAGGAATTGGGAGAGAGCCGTTGACGGCTTGCAGAGACTCAACAAGGGGTTACCGGAGACGAGGGCGAGGCTCGAGAGAGCCCGTCATGTCGTGGGGTATTTGGAGGGCGAGTAAATAATGTCTTTTTGCATAGACTGGGAGTGTGGCACTTTTTTTTCTTTTTTCTTCTTTTTTTTTATATCCGTTTTGTGGGTTTGCGGAGCGTGTTGATATCGGGAGTATATGGGATACCCAGTGTTATGTTGAGTCGTTTGTTTAGTGGTGCTACATGTATTGTCTGCATAAATGAGTGCGTATTACTATGTATTCGATATCATGATGATGATTACCTTGTATCGCATATCGCCAATCTAAATCTAGTCTTTACCGCTACGTATATCCCCATCTCTTCAACCAAGGAAAGAAAAAAAAATAAAAAATAAAGTCGAGTCATCACCTCATGTTCCCCCCCGAAACCATCCATCTCATACAAATACATCTTCCTCCTCTTCCCCCCAAAATCTCTTTTTCCCCAACGTCCAAAATGTGATTTTTTTTTCAAAACCGACTAATATCCCTCCCAAACAGCCAATTCACAGCCCAATACACAGGCACAAGCACTTTATTCCTCCAGCTGACGGTGCGCGTAATGTACGCGCCGCGCCAGATAATCCACGCCACATAGCCCTGCAGGCGGCCGCCCCACTGGCCGCCGCCCTGGAAGAGCGCATTCCAGTTTCCAATGTAGGCCAGCGTGCCCAGGTCGCGGTATGTAAAGCCCGTTGTGTGTGCCATGTTGGTGCTCTTGTTGAGGTGCTTGGCGAGCCAGACTGCTTTCTGGCTGGCTACTTGTGCGGTGGCTGGGTACGAGGTGCCTTGTATGATGCCGCAGTCACCCAGGGCGAAGACATCTGGGTGGACGGCTTCGGTTACAGCAGGTGTATTCTGGTTGGTATGCTGTGATGGGTTTTCCGGATCGTTGTTGTTGTTGTTGTTAGTATTATTCGCAGGCACGAGTTTGACACGGAGATGGGCGTCTGTGATGATGGAACCTGATTTCGCGTCTTTTTTCACGGTCCAGCGGATTTTTTCAGAGATGCTGCTGCTGCTGGATTGAGGGGTTGAGGGATTGCTGAGGACAAGGTTGGTGGGTGCTTCGCGGACGCTCGAGAGTGCGTTGTGGACAAAGGGATTTTGCATTAGTCCTGTGCCTGGAGAAAGGTAGTCATGTTAGTAGGAGTTTGTGTTGGATTAAAAGAACTCGACTTACTCCATACGCACATGCCCACGCCAATTTCACCCTGCTCCTTGACCTTGAGCGTGTACAGATGCGAGTCTTCTACTGTCCCCAAGTTGCTGGTTTCGACGGGCGCTCCGGCACGCAGTTCCTGGACGTGATGACTCGTTTTGATATCAATACCTTCACGCTTGAACTTTTGCATGGCGTAGCTCGCTAGCTTTTGGTCGAACATAGGCAACACCTTTTCAGCGACATCGTACACGGTAATCTTGTGGTACTTGATGAGTTCCGGGTACAGCTTCTTCATGTCTTCGTTGATGAGATCGTGCAGCTCAGCGCTGAACTCGATGCCAGTTGGGCCACCTCCCACAACCGCAAAGTTCAGGAGTTGGCGCTTCATATCAACAGGCGTCGTGGGGAGAGCCGCGCCTTCGAAGCACGCGAGAATGCGGTTCCGGATTCTGCGTGCGTCGCCCACGTCTTTGAGGAAAAAGGCGTGTTCTTTGACCCCCGGAGTGCCAAATGTCTGGCTGTAGCATCCCACCGTCACAATCAGTTTGTCGTAGTCCACTGAAAACAGCCTTCCCTCTTTACTTTCCTTCTTCTTCTCCAGAGCTCTCTGCTCCTCGGTTTTGCCCGCATGGCGATCAGTCGTCAGCGCCACGCCTGGCTTGGGGTCATCGACTGCCTCTTCGACAGTAATGGTACGGTTCTTGAAATCCACGTCGTCGGCCCAGCCTTGGATAAATTCCGCATTGGTTCTGCGACTACGCACAGGTTCGAGTGCGGTCCTGAATTCCAGCGTTCCTACGGCTGTAGACGCAAGCAGGGGGGTAAAGGCAAAGTAGGACCGTGGAGACACGACAATGGTCTGGTATTTTGACGAATCAAGAGTACGGGCAACAGTAAAGCCAGCCCAGCCAGATCCCAGGATGACTACGCGCTCTCGATCTGAATATGTGCTGATTAGTTTTCTGGTCTCATATGGACATGGATATCTTAGCTTCAGAAGCCTAGTACATACTGCGTCTACCCTCGTTCAACTTTTCCATTGTAATCAGTCTCCGCTGTCCCAAACTCTGTCCATTCATCAAAGCACCGCCAACCCGACATGATGGTACCGCACGTAAGATGCCCGTTCTCATTGTGCTCGCCGAGACCATCCCCCGAACGCCCCGAGGCAATTGTGGCGAGCGACTCGACAGCATAATTGTTGCTGTAGAAGCAAATTGGCATGCTCCAAATGTGAACCCGGACTTACTTTTCTTACACTATGAAACATTTTATTAGGGGCCGCCTTGACAAGGCCCGCCAACCGGGTTGTTGCGGGAGGAATGCGACTATGACGTACCGCTGGTGCAAGCTTGACGCGCCGAACTATGGCCGATCATTCGTAATTGACAGCGGAGGTCCGCCCCGCCTTGAGACTGGAAACATGCTAGTAGCGTTAAACGGTTAGAAAGGCGAAGCTTGTCTTTCAGGTGCTGTGCACCGGACGAATATAGGAAGACGGGTCGCGGGGAGAAGCGCTGTCAGCACCCTTTCAACAAGCCGAGCCAACCCGAGAACACATGGCTGTGACTTTGACAGACAATACACCTTTGACACACTTTGGAAAGAATGTACGTCTTTGCAAAAGATTGGTGAATGCAAAGAGTAATAAAGTAGATAACGTAACTAGGTGTTGGAAAGTTTGACTCGAACAGTCACAACGGAACATACAGAATTGGCGAAACAAGTTTCATTCGTATACTTTGTGAAGCTACCAATTGGTCTGAAAAACGAAAGGGGGTATCAACGACGCAAATCATACGTGAAAAAACATCAAAAGTCTTTTGTCCGGAACTTTGCAAACTCCAAATGTAGGAACAGCAGACTGTTTTGCGCTCATATCATCCTAGCAGAGTAAGTTTCTGACCATCTTATAGCTCTGCCCTCCTAGTTTTTGGGCTCTTTGTTGGTTGGGGGTTCACAGAATCGCCTGTCCTAGCGCGCTTCAATTTTGTAGGTCCAGACGCCATGCTGCTCGATCCGCTTTGCCGGCTGCGTCGCTGCTCTATCTGTTGAGCTTCATGAGCACCGCCAATTGGGCTGTTGAATCCACTTCCACCACCTGCTGTCGCTGCCGAGCTACCAGCAGGAATCTCTTCAGCCAAGCGGTCCGCAAGTGCAGCGTCATACTCACGCTCACTCGCGCGAACAGCATTTGGGTTTTGCTGGCGAGCAGTAGCGAGCAAGTCGACACTGCCATCGTCGCTGTCTTCATAGTCGGACTCTGACTCTTCAAAATCGTGCGAGCCGGCTGGAGCAATGTTGAGAATTTGCATGGCTGTCGCTGGGCAGTCGGATGAGTCGGATCCAGGCTCAGAGGAGGCGTCGGATGCGAGATCGGAGTCGACGTCACCAGAGGAACAGGAGTCAAGAGGAAGGAAAGAGGCGGGCGGAAGAGTAGAGTTGGGTAGGTCCTTGCGTGACGCGGATATAATCTTCTCGTGGATAATGCGCTGAGGGCTCGAGCGCGGAGACTCGTCTTCTAATGGCCCCGCCTCCGAGCGGAGTGCTTGCTGAATGGCCTTGGGGTAGAAGCTTGTCCGGCGATGGGCGGCCACGTGCGACGGCATGATTGGTATCTGCGAGCGACGAACATGGATGGAAAAGTTGTCTTCTGGTTGCACACCGCCAATGCCCGAGGCTTCAAATTCTATGACTTCTGGGCTCGTGTTTCCACCGTCGTCCCTTAGGGCCTCTGGTGAGAAGCCAAATTCATCATTGCTAGAAGCAGTACGCGATCCATTGTTGGAGTCGATATCCATGGCCGACGACTCCAACGGGCCTCGGCGCTCAGAAAGTTCGTTGGAAAGACTGGCCTGCGATGAGGGGCTATGAGCTGCGCCCAGGGGCTGAGTGGTGATGGGCTGGTAGTTGCCAGGCATTGTGAGGGAAGCTCCATTACGATCGCCGCTAAGATCAGTACAGAACTTGGCCTTGGTGTAGAAGATCATGGGTCCGTCGTCACGCCTACGGGGCTTGGATGAGGAGCTCTGCATGACTGAGCTGCTGAAGCCCGACGAGTTGCCTGCCTGCTGCGGCTGGTAAGAGTAATTTGCCGAAGAATCAGCGTCGAAGCCATAAAACTCGTCCTCATTGTCAGAGTCTTCCTTGTGGAAGAAGAGCGGCTTGTATGCAAACTTGCTCTGTTCCCTCTCGCGCTGGTAACGCGCCAATCGCCTTGCCTGGTCGGAACTGACAGGGTCGCTGCTGGTGCCACTATTCCCGGTCTTCATGCGCTTAAACGGTGACATTGATCCTATCTCGTTGGGCGAGGCGTTGCTGTAGTGCTCCGATGAGCTTTCGCCACTGTGCTGCGTGACATCGCGACCACCCTTCCATCGAATCTTGCGTCCGTCGCGAGAAATCTCGAGGTGGCTGCTATACTCATGCAGTGCGTCCTTGACAAACTCGGGAGTGACGTTGAGCGTGTGGAGTTGTGCCATGTTGATGAGCAAGTTGAGATATATCCAGCCATGGCCGAGTGGCGCTTCTCCGGAGTTCATGTCCGGCGGGGTAAAGCCAAGATGACGGATATAGTTCATGTTGTCGAGTGGTATCTGGGCACGGTAAGGGTCCAGGTCCAAGGGGCGAGTGGGTCGTTGGTCAGGGGAGGAGCCCGAACCAGCAAAATCATGTTCCTCAATGTGCAGGGCAGGTCGCAGTCCTTGGATGGTCTCGCGGTGTTCCACCTCGTCTTCGTCAACAGTGCGGTCAGACATGATGCGAGCTTCGCGCTGGCCTTCTGGTCTAAAAAGCTGTCCGGTTGCTTCACGTTGCTCGCGGTCCGCTGTCGCCGCCGACTGGGCGACTTCTTGCTGTTGCATTGGCTGCGGGTGGGATCCGGGCACCGACCGCTTGCCAGCAAATATCTGCTCCAAGCGCCGCACAACCATCTTCTTCTTTGACTTTTCCGTCATCAGGACACTCCTGTTGTTGGGCATGAGCCCCATGGGGATGTCATGGAGGTAGGATTGGATGCTCTGTTGCTGGCGGCTGTACGCTGACCGGGTCATCTTACGGTCCTTTTCCTGGTTTGATGCTCCTGCAGAGTTTGGACCGGATACCGACATGGATGCATATCCAGACTCGGCAAAGCGTGATGTCGACGAGGCGGTGTTGTGCGTCTCGAGTGCTGGGGTATACGATGTTGATATCTGGGCATAGTCGTTGGCCGTTCCATCGTCAAGCTCAGCTGCAAATTTGCGCAGTGTTTCTTCCAGTTCCTTCTTCTTGTGATCGGGCAGGCCGTGGAATCTGACTTCGAACAGCTTCTCCTCCTGCAGATGGGCATCGTAGAGCTTCTCATATTTCTTCAGCCTCTGCTTGAGCCGCTTGTTTGCGACGGTGAGGTCGTCAATGACGCTTCGGAAGTCCTCAGTGCTGCTGCCATCGGTGCCTATCTGGCCCAAGCTGGGGCGGTACGGGATGGCGGAGTGTGTCTGGTTGTGATGAGAATGCTCGGGCGGTGTCTCGGAGGACGATGAATTTCGGAGGAAGAAGGGCGGCTCGTCTAGACGAATGCGGTGGTTAGCAAAATCTCCTGCGGCGAGGGATTAGAGCTACCACCTACTGTCAACAAACGTGGTCTTGCTCTGCTTGGCACTGTTGTTGGTCTTCTCGAACCATTGTCCGGCGTCACTACTCTCGCCGGAGCTGTTCTTGTGCGAGTTGAGCTGTGACGACACGCTCGACGGGGGGTTGGCCTTGTCGCTGGCCAGAGTTGGGGAGCTGCGGCTGGTCGTCTGTTCCTTGCCTCGCAGGCCCGACGTGAAGGGTGGCGGGCTGTGTCGGAGCGAAACGGACTTGTGTGCGGGCGGGCGCCGGGGATGGTTCTTGACAGACTTTGGTATGGTGCCTGGAGGCTCGTTCATGGTTGCTGGCGTCGAGTTACGGGCTACGTGCAAAGGGCGTTCCCCATAGGCGCAAGAGGGTCGATATCGGAGCGCTGGCGGGTGCTGGCAATGTGGAGAACGAGGGACGGACGCCACGAGGCCGGGCAGGGCGCGGGAGGGCGGATTACCGAACCAAAGTTGCCGTTCTAGTCCGAGCTGGAAAAGAATCAAGTGTTTCCCACGGCGAATACTCGGGCGGTGAGTTCTGGCGGAGGGGATGAGATGGGGTGGGCGTCCTGGGGGCGTCCTGGGGGCGTGGGCGATGAGGCTGGTGCGAGAGCAGAGTATCGGACGAGCAGACTTTCTGGGCTTCTGAGCGTGGAACCATGATGATTATCGATCTCTGATGTGGGTAGGGATGGCGAGGTGCTCGATTTCCACGGTGCCAAGAAATGCGACGGGGATCGAGGTGCCTGGGAGAGAACGCATCGTGTGGCGTTGCCCGGGCTAGACCAAGCGACTATCATCGTCGATGAGCCTCGTCGTCCAACGCCCCCCATCGCCCAAATAGGACCCCATCGCCATTTGCGACGCTCTGCCTCTGGTCGATGGCTGCCCCCATCGGTGATGACTGCCCGGCCTCTCGCTACACAGCTGCGTCGACGGCACCCGCTCGCTGCTCTGGACCGGGCTTCGACGAATGAGCCTCGCAACCACATACACACGGCAAACGGCGTTGCGACAGTCCAGACGCAGCGTCGCCAGCATCCGACCCTCCTTTTGCCAGGCACTCACACTCACACTCCACCTCACACTCACACCATGCGCGGGCGGTGCGAACCGTTTGGCACAGCGCTAGAAGGCCTCCCACTGCCCATGCGCGATCGAGATCCCAACCTTCAGCCCTGGTCAAGCCAGCCCCCCCTCGCCCGCCTGCCCACTCGCTCTGGCGCACGCTGCCACTGCTTCAGCTTCATGTGCAACACTAACTGAGGTCATCTTTGCAGCGGCTGAGGGGCATGAAGCCACACGGATCGACCTGACTTGCTGGACCCTGAGTCCGCCGGCGGCGGTGGTGGTGGGTGCAGACGGGCCTGCAGTGCTTATTGGCGTGGGATGCTGCACGTAGCCCTGCCCGTGGGACAGTTGGATCGAGCCCGTGGTGTTCATCGCTGCTACTAGCATCACCATCGACGACCACCGAGGACCCTGAACACCGCGAGCCCTGGCCAAATCGTCATAGGGCGTGGCATAGCGCTAGCCACCAATATCCAGCGACTATGCCATTGCCATCGCCCCAGCCCTCGACCCGACTCGCCCGCGCTGCCTCAACGCAACGCGGTATTACTACCACCACCACCACTACTACCGCTACTATATCACAGACGGCTTTTGCCACCGTCGGGTCACACTGTGCCAGCCTCGAGTCATCGGCCACGCTCGGATCACGGGGGCTTCAGAGAAAAATCGCTGGACGGCCAGGTCAAGCCTTCGGGCATATTCCCCGGTCGAACCATACCGCGCGGGGCTCAACAACGTGGCATTCATCTCGCGCGCATCGTACGATGTCTATGGGAATGTGGGAAATAACCTCCACCACAACGCTTACACCATGACTGAGGCGCCAAATCACAGATGCAATCGAGATTCAATGTGTTATGACGTCGGTGCCTGACGTGTATTCCGCGGGCGCAAATATGCCTGTATCGATCGGTCCAAGAACAAAAACCTCGGCGCGCCACGGGGGGCTGAACGGCAGACGCTTGTCGATGCCGATGGCCTTGTCGGTGGACATGGTGTTTAGCATAGACAGCCGGGCGGGGGCTGGAAAAGAGCCTTGGCCTAAATGCGAGCGCCCTTACTCCTGAGCACGTTGAGGGTCGAATGGCCCGTGTAGTTGAGCCATTCGCTGAGACTGCCCATGAAGCCACCAACCTGCATCAGGTCCTGTAATCTATTGTCCAGAAACTGCTCAGTCTCTGCAAAATTGGCCGACTTGTCTTGCGTCATGTAGAGCTCGGTCGACGAATAGATGGCCGAAAGGGTTGCTCGTTTGGTGTACCAGCTGCTATCGACACTCTGATCGCCTGCCAGAAACCATATTTCGTCTGCGAGTTTGGCTAGTTCTGCCAGTGATGCGGGGACGTATGTTGGTTGAGCCATGATCGCGAGCGCCTGAGGAACGTCAGCGGGCGATGATCACGGGCGGTGGTAATGGCGATGCTACCTCTTGCCAGCGATGGATAACGGGCGCATTTGCGCGGAGCCGCGCCAGAGTCAAAATCCCGACCTTTGCACCGGCACCCATCTTTTTCCCGTGCTCGCCTTCTTGGGGGAACTGCACAGTGCTTTGCAGGGCCAGCCGCTGAGTGACCAGATGGTAGTTGATCAAATCAAAGACGCCCCGTGGAAGCAAATTGGTCGAGACATCGAGGTAGCCGGCATCTCGTGCACCGAGCTTCAGCGCATCGATAGTAAAGCCGTGCTTGGGTACGTGTGCATAGGCGGATGAGAGTATGGCATTTTCAGCGGGGGGGAATGGCGGCGGCGCAGCATAGTCATAGGAATGGTACAGGCATCGCCGGCTCCACGAGGCGGCGGGGCGAATCGAGGCTGCTCGGCACGTCCCGAACAGCGCGGTAGCTAGTCGTGTTGGCGGCATTGGGAGGGGATTGAAGAAGTTGGGAACCAGCCGATATGGAAAGCCTATGCCTTGCCCGCAGATCTGCCAAGACTGCAATCGATCAGATCCCGCACTAACGTCGATCAACGGTGCGCTGAGAGGCTGTCAGCAACTAACCGGTAGCCATGTGCCAGGGGCGCCTACACTACACCGATGTTCGTATGCGCTTCCAAGGGAGGGTGATTTGGCGCCCTCTTCGCTAAATCTCGCCTGCTTGGGGCCTGGACGGGTTGTGGGAGGGTTTCGCCACACGGCATTTCGAGCACGCGCCAGCACGTGACTGACGCGTTGACCGCGCACACGCTAGTGGCAATGACGACAGGCTCCTTCTGTTGCTGCCACTGCATTTGCATCTGCATTTGCACTACTGCTACCCCAAACCCCTCGCCACTCGATCTTCAGGAACACATCGCGTGTCCCGCAAATCTGGGAGGCGACACTGAAGCCTGCATGCGCATCCCCACCGCCACCGCATCCGAATCGTAGCCCACGTGCACGCGCTCTCCAGTTACCCACCCGAGCCTGGACGAAACAATTGATCCCTCGCCACGCTCCACCAGGACAGCCATGGCACGCGCAAAGAATGTCGAGGTCAGCGAATATGAGCGCAAGAGGCAGGAAAACATTGCCAAGACGCAGGCGCTTTTGCGCAACCTCGAGATGGAGGCTGCGCAGGCGGGCCTAGGGCCTACAAGCAGGCCCAAGGCGTCTGCAGCGTCCAAGCCCAAGGCAAAGAAGCCAGCGCCGAAAAAAATCAAAGAGGAAGAGATGGCGCCACGGCGGACGTCGTCGCGCTTAAGGGGTATCGTGGCCGACAGCGAGGTCGCGAAGCGCAAGGCAGAGGATGAATACGCCGCAATCAAGGAGGCGGATCGCGCAAAGAGACAGCGCGTGAGTGACGCGTACAATTTCAGCGATATCGTTGTCGCAGGCAAGGACTGGAACAAGAGCGGCAACTTTCTCTCTGTCGGTCCAGCCGATCCGTATGCGCGCACTTTCGACTACAATGACGTGAAGGAAACAACCGACAAGGAGCTAAGAGCACTTCGCGAGCGCATGAGCGGGTTGCAGCTATGGGAGGACTTTGAGCCCAATGAGATCAAGATTACGCCAGAGCGCATTTACTCCATGGCCCTGCACCCCACAACTGACAAGCCCCTGGTATTTGCCGGCGACAAACTAGGAAACCTGGGCATATGCGATGCTTCTCAGAAGGCTGCCGAGGTCAAAGTAGAGGACGACGAGGATGCCGACAGGGAAGGCCCGACCATTACAACCCTGAAGCCTCACACCCGGACAATCCACACGTTCCAGTTCAATCCTCACGATGCAAACACGCTTTACTCGGCCTCATATGATTCTACCGTCCGCAAATTGGATCTTGCCAAAGGGGTTGCAGTCGAGGTGTATGCTCCTGCCGATGCGAGAGAGGAAGCGCCGCTTTCTGGGCTCGAGATATCCAAGGACAGTCCAAACACGCTGTACTTTTCCACGCTAGACGGGCAATTCGGCATATACGACCTGCGCACGCCGTCAGAGAAGGCTGCAGGCCTGCAAGTCTTCCAGCTGTCAGACAAGAAAATTGGGGGCTTTACGCTCCATCCGCTGCACCCACATCTCGTGGCTACGGCTTCCTTGGACCGTACGCTCAAGATCTGGGACCTACGCAAGATTACAGGCAAAGGCGACGATCGCTTGCCGACGCTTGTCGGAGAACATACCAGCAAGTTGTCCGTCTCACACGCCGCGTGGAATTCTGCTGGGCAGGTGGCTACAGCCTCGTATGACGACACAATCAAGATTCACGATTTCGGGAATTGCGCGGAATGGAAAGCCGGGACGAGCTTGGAAGAAGCGGAAATGGAGCCGACGGTTGTCGTGCCGCATAACAACCAGACGGGACGATGGGTCACTATGTATGTCGCCCAATACATGCAATATTTGCGAGACACTATGCTAACGCTCTGTGCAGATTACGAGCCCAGTGGCAGCAGTTCCCCCAGGACAATGTGCAGCGCTTCTGCATTGGCAACATGAACCGCTTCGTTGACATTTACACGGCGAAAGGCGAGCAGCTGGCGCAGCTCGGGGGCGACGGCATCACCGCAGTACCGGCAGTGGCAAAATTCCATCCTACGCTCGACTGGATAGCAGCGGGCACGGCGAGTGGGAAGCTCTGCTTGTGGATGTAGCACATGTGCATACAGTATACAGATGATATACCCCGGAGGCCAGCTATTGTTAGAAGGTGTGAATAACAGATTCTCCGCTGCTGTCTAGCGCCTCCCGAAATCATGGTTCATGCGCACAACAACTGAATCATGCAGTATTGATATGCACCCGTTTGCATGTATCCGACTCGTCGAAACATGAGCGACTAGTGCCTGGGGGCCCAATCCAGTAACATCTCCACATTGCACGCAGGGGAGGGGGGCCATACATATGTCATGCCATGGCGATAGGAGAAGGCTTGCGCCTGTGATGTGGCATGACAGCATGTATGTATGCATTGTACGTGCCAGCGCTGGGCACTCACGCACTCACGTGTATGGAGTCCCCACGGATCGACTTCGGAGACAGAGGTAATCCGAGATAATCCGAGATGCCTCGTACGAGGCGCGAGTCGAGTACTACCATACCTACAGTAGGGGGGGGGGAACGTGTGGCGGGACCTCGCAGCCACAACGCGTCACCACCAAGCCCTTGTGCCTCAGCAACGCTAGCCAGGGCAGCGCCCGGCCCTCGATAGGCAATGCTCCCGCAAAAAGCAGCGCATGACTTTGGACACGGTGAATACGAGGTTTTTTAGGGCCATTGTTTTTTGCGTGAGAGCGTGAGATTGAAGGGGGGCAGACGAGGGGCGGGGTGCATGACGGCCAACGGCATGTGTGGCACATTTCAGCCAAAGTGGGTGGTGGGGACCGACGGCAGGCATGACGATAAGGCTTGGCTTGGTTTGGACGGGCGGATGGGGGGCTTTGCTTGCACTTGCAGCTTGCATTGTGTTTCTACGACCTTCGCTGGAGACAAAGAAAACCAACCCGCAAGATTTTTTTTCTTCCTTCGCCCGGATTTCAGGTCTACGGACAATCTATGTGAAAATCCGGGTCGACCGGACCAAAATTAGAATGGGTTACATTAGCAAGGGGGGGCTGGGGGGATTGGGGAGATGGAGATATGCAAGTAGCATGACATGTTCCTCTCTCCCACACTCTCTTTTTTTGGTTGCTTTTTAGCGGAGAACGGTGACGGTTGGACTCGTCTAGCTGCAAAACAATAAGATGTGCAGTGTGCGGTAAGTGTAAATTAAACGGTGACGGGGGGGCGCTGCTGTGGTTGCAACAGTGACTATCACTACCGCAATCAGCCGCGGGCGGATAGTCACAGTTACTATATTTTGCTGCCGCTATACAAACTAGAAGATATGGGAAATGCACGAAAAAAAAGACAGGGTCCACACGCACGCATTCACGCATTCACGCCACTCTGTGTGTGTAGGATTATTTTCGTTTTCGGAGAAGACGGTCTGGTTTGGTACACCATGGAGTGACTTCACGCGAGGGCTGGAGACCAAGAAAAAAAAAGACCATCACCACGCGGATATCTCGTGTTCGGGAGTCCGGAAATGGGGGGATATGACGCTGATAGTAAGTAAAAGACCATCACAATAAACAGCGGATTGCGGGCTAAGCCCCACTAATTCCGCCTGATCCTTGGTGTGTGTGGGAGCAGTGGGAGCTGCAGTGACGGCAGCGAGGAGGGTAGCGAAAGCAGCAGTGAACTTCATTTTGGTGGTGGTGGTGGTGGTGGTGGTGGTGATATTACTGAGAGAAGTGATTATTCGAGTGAGTAGTAGACTGATGGATGCTGAGTGAAGTGCCTTTCCAACAGCCGCCGTCGCCATCCCCTTTTATATGAGGAAACCCAGCTCAGGCATCTTGTTTCCACAAACTCCCCACCTTTCATCATCGATGGATCCCGTCGTGCGTGTATCCCGGGTCCCTGCACAGCCCTTAGTGCCAAACAACAAGAAAAAAACACACACCCGCCAGCCACACAGCCTTGCACTGGTGTCTGGGTAAGGAAATAAGGACCAGCAGCCCCCCCCCCCCTCCCTCTCTCTCTCCCCTAGCTCCGTTTCCACGCGATTGGCTAGTCCCGCTCCGCTAGCAAAGCAACCTCTCGAGACAAAGATCGTCGTGTTGCTAACCGGACCATTGGAAGCGAGTACTTTGGCCTGATTGCTCAACGCAGTGCTTCTCCCATCCACCTGTCACCTGTCCAGGCTCGTGGCGGAAAGCTGTACATTGGCGGAGGCGGCCCATCGTCCTACTGCCCACCCAACATTGGAGCCGAGAACTGCCCATCGGGCAACAGCACCGTCTTCACTGGCGGCAACTGGACTCTCAGCATGGGCGTCGTTGTTCCCGGCGGCCAGCAGGTCTTTGTCCAGTCGGACGGTGCTCTGGGCTACACGCTTCCTCACTCTGCCGCCATTCCCAACGGCGCTGTCCTCACGGGCTTCAGCACCACGTCGTCTCCTCTCGGCGAGCAGTTTGGCTACCTCAACTTCTACGACGGCTTCCTGGCGTGCCCTGCCGAGGCCCAGGGCTACCAGGTCTACGGCCTGATCCCCAACAACACCTACAGCAACGACTGCCTCTCCTTCAGCGCTCTGATGGGTAAGTTTTCGATTCTCTCGTGCATAGCTAGTACGCGCATGGTTACAGTTACTAACAAGTTTGCAGCCCCTGCCACCAGCCCTGGCGCCTGGGAGTACTAGACTCACTGTCTTCCCCCTGACTCGACATGAAAATGAACAAAGCGAATAGAACGGCCTACTTAATGCACAGTCGGCTTGTATGTACAATAGATGTTTTGGCTGAATTGCGGGAGCATGGGAACATAACCCCCGATGTACATATTTACGCTCCTTAATCACGCTAACTCGGCCGTGATTGGCGGAAGAGTAGTATAATGATAATCAATTAAGATGCAACCCAAACTCATCTGCGGTGAAGTAAATTGTTTTTTTTAGCACGCCTAAGCAGTAGCACAACAGTCCATTGCTATTTTTACCGTGGGTAGCTACTCCGTTCCAGCATGGCTTTGATGCTGGCGACTTGCTCTTCAGGGGTGCCTTGGGAGCTTGTTTGAACGGCAACCGTCTTGTCCCTGCTCTTGATGCCCTTGACGACTTGGACGTCAGACTTGGCTATTCCCAGGGCTTCGGCAATGACTCGCGCCACGGCCTTGTTGGCCGCTCCGTCTTTTGCCTGTGCTGCAACGCAGACTTGGACATGCTCCTCGGAAACGGATGCCACGCCCTCGCGCGTGGCATGGACGCCGGGCTTGACGTGGCAGATCAGCTGGACGGTTCCCGTGTGTGCTTTCGCGGCCGTTGCAGCGACAAAGCGGACAGCGGGCGCCGACATTGGGGGGGTTGATGGCGGGCGTAAACGGTGTGTGGATAGGGTTGACCGGTGTATATAATCATGCTCCGGGTCAGCTGGTTTGGTCGAGCGGAACAAGCCGGGCCGATTGGGGACGCCGGCGGCAGCGGCAGCGGCAGCGGCTAACCATGGATGGCGCAAAGCCGACTACACCCGGCCGGCCCCGTGCATGGATTATGTCATCGGCTTTAGCCAATGGCGCCCGCACTCGTCCCTCGACGCTTCTGGCTCGCAACGGCACGCATTGGTTGAGCTAGCCGTTGTCCTGCAATCCACACAAGCTTCTACTGTACATACACAAGTCCCCCTCGACGCTTATCTCAACCCCTTCTGCTTCATCGACCTCGGAACCCCCCACCAGCCGGCGCGAGCCACGAGCGAACGACCTACCTAATCCGACATGGGTTGGCCCTCGGCCCTCCTGCTTAGTGGGGGAGGGGCCCGCTCCCCAGCTCTTGCAGTACCACACAACCTCCCTAGCCCGAACAACTTCCCCTAAGTGATAAATTTGACGAGAGCCTCAACCTTCTGTTCCCCTAAGTACAGGTGTACACGATGCCACGAAAACTCAGCAACTGCCCAATTACCTAAGATCGGAGGTCCCCCAGGGATAAAAAGCCCCGCGACTGCCCTCCATCATGCCATCTATTTTATTTCGTTTTCCCGCTTCCGAGGAGACGTGCGATTTGGTTGTACCAACGTCTTGTGTGTATTTTGTTTTTGCTCTTTTGAAATAATCGCTTGGTTCTAGACTGCCTTGTGCATACAAGCATATCAGGTACGAGCTTTTTGTTGCTGCAGCAGGCTGGACGCGGTCTTGCTTTTTCGCAGCTTCCTTTGCAGTTGCGCGAGGAACTACGAGCAACGATCCACCCACCTCACCTCCGCTGCACGAACCTCCTATGAATACAAGTATTAATACATTTCGCAGCAAAATGACTTCTGCACCCACAGCACAGCCCAAGTTCCTGCCTAGCCGGAATGAGCTGGGTATCGTCGCAGTTGGTTTCAGCGGCGGCCAGGTAAGCCTTCTCGCCCTGCGCGACACCGCCCACCAGCTAACCACGACATGTGCAGCCCAAAGCCGGTGTCGATGCCGCCCCCATGGCGCTCATCGAAAACGGCCTCATCAAGCAGCTGCAAGAAGACCTAGAGTACAACGTCAGCTACGATGGCCAAGTGCACAACTACTCTGAGCTGCAGCCCGCAGACGACCCCGACTACCGCGGCATGAAGCGCCCCAAGTTTGCCAGCGCCGTGACGCGCGAAGTCAGCGACCAAGTGTACAAGCACGCCAAAGACGGCAAGCTCGTCTTGACGCTGGGCGGCGACCACTCGATTGCCATTGGCACCATTTCCGGCACGGCAAAGGCCGTCCGCGAGAGGCTGGGCCGCGACATTGCCGTCATCTGGGTCGATGCGCATGCCGACATCAACACGCCTGAGACGTCGGAAAGCGGCAACATCCACGGCATGCCCGTTGCTTTTCTGACGGGCCTTGCGACCGAGGACCGCGACGACATCTTCGGCTGGATCAAAGAGGAGCACCGCCTCAGCACCAAGAAACTGGTCTACATTGGCCTGCGGGACATTGACCGCGGCGAGAAGAAGATTCTGAAAGAGCATGGTATCAAGGCTTTCTCCATGCACGACATTGACAGGTGAGTTTGGTGTTACCGGTATCGAAATAGTGTTTGGCTAATGTTTGTCCTTGCAGACACGGCATTGGCAAAGTCATGGACATGGCTCTGGGCTGGATCGGAAGCGACACGCCCATTCACCTCTCGTTCGACGTCGATGCCCTCGACCCCATGTGGGCCCCTAGCACCGGCACGCCTGTCCGCGGTGGTCTGACGCTGCGAGAGGGCGACTTCATCGCCGAGTGTGTTGCCGAGACGGGCTCGCTCATTGCCTTGGATCTCGTCGAAGTCAATCCTGCCTTGGATGCCGAGGGTGCAGGCGATACCGTCCGCGCTGGTGTTTCGATTGTCCGTTGCGCCCTTGGTGACACCCTTTTGTAAGATGGCTTTGTGTGGGTAGTCATGCAGTCATGAATCTGGCGTCTAGGTGCTTTTGCTTTGCTTCTCTTGGGATAGAAGTAGATGGTGTCACGAGACATGAAGACTCGAATGATAAATGTTGAATCTGCTTTAGATTGCAAACTAGGACATGTCTTGATGCAGTGTTACGTCGTCATATGGTTGTAAATTGGTTGCTGCATCAACCTTGACATGGTTTAGGGTCTGTATATGAGATTGGCTGGACATGTTCTGCTCATGGTAGTATTTATGACGCGCATCGTATTCCTCGGTCTCGAGCCAGTTCGACGACATCCAGGTAACCAAGTGTGCAACCGCCAAAGCATTATTCTCATATCAACTATTAGTAATGGTATTCTGCTCAAAACATCACGAGGGCCACTCTACTCATAGTGTTCCTTTGTTCGCTCTGCCCATACACAGCATCCCAAGCATCACACCACCCACCAGCCGATTCCAGACCAGCCACAACCAAAAAAACGCGCCGTATACAGAGGCTACACAAGCATTTCCAACAGCAGTCTCACCCTGAGCTATTGGCCCGATAAACGGGCTGCCGAGCCAGTTTTCCTGCAGCCACGCAGCCTTGGCTGTATATCTGCAATGCACAAACGGCGGAGAAATACCATGTGTCCCGCTGTCCAATCAGCCGTGGACTGCATGTACATTGTCTGTACGACACAGTGCTGCATGCATGATTCCGACTAAAGTAAGCAGATGGATGCAAGATGCCAAAGCAATCTGGAGATATAAAATACCCCCCACCGCGATGCAGCAGATGCAATCTCCATGTCTATCCAAAAACATCCACTCACAGAATATCTATCTGATACACATCAAGATCCAACTATGCATTTCACCACTACCGCCCTTACCCTCCTCCTCTTCTCCACAGCCGCATCCTCACACGTCCTCTCCTCCCCCGAGGACACCGCCGTAAACAGCCTCGCCAAACGCGCATGCGACTACAACGGCTGCGCCTGTGTCAGCGGCATCCCAGCAGGCGTTTACTGCGGCAACTGCGTCGTCGGCGCAGGCACATATGCGGTTCGCACTAAGCGCGTGCGCACCCATGTGTTTCAGTGCGGTGCGCGCGGTGCGTGCTGTGATTATGGTTACGCGACGGACTGTGGAGGGGATGGGGCAAGGTGTAGGAGCGGAGGGCCGGATTAGGATATACTTGTATAAACTTGTGGGGGGGTGAATGGGGGGGGAGATGTAGGGTAGGATATGGATATTGGATATTGGATGTTGGATGAATGGGCGCTTGGAAACGGTTACTGTTCCTGTTTACTTAGGGATACTTATTTAGTCTGCGGAAACAACGGGCAGCGCAAATCAAAACTACTCCATTTCAGCCAAGTATCCATCCAATCGTTTTGCGTGGGTCCGGATAATGTGATTGTTGCTTGTGTAAGCGGTACATATACATACATACATACATACATACATACATGGTATTGGCTAATAAGTACGACCACAACTGGCATGCCCGCGCTTACAGCCTTGGGAACCCTGGACCCCCCCCCTCCCCCTCAACGCAACACCCCCAAATACGACGCTTGGTTGGCTGGAAAACTCACCACTTGGTCATGGACATGCATACCGCCTAGCAAGGCCACACACGCCACATCTTCGTATTTGTCGTATCCGGGAAATTAGAGGCGCATGCTGGCTTTTGGGGGGGGGGCTAGTCATGTAGCCAAGGTAGGGTAAGGTAAGGTAAGGTAAGGTACTTAGTTTGTGTATCCATTTCTCCGTTCGTCCGAGGGGCGATTGTTATCCAGCTGTGCGAAACAAAAAAAGAAATCAAGAAAGAAAAAAAAACCCCCCAAATTTCAAGACCGGATACGGTAAGGATGGGATGTGGTAAGCGATAAGGGAGATAGATGATGGGAATGGGTGGGTAGAGATGGTCACATGATCTGGGTTTGCATGTGTACACAGGCTGGCGCAAGTAAGTACTTGGTCATGGCGTGGAACGCGTTGACGCGTTACTTACAGGTGACTCGTTTTACATGAAACACAACGACACCAACTCTAAAACAACAGCTACTTACACGTTCTGTCAAAAGTCAAAAGTCACATGTCAAATGTCAATAGTGCTAAAAAAAAACCCCTAAATGCTAAGTTCTGGTTCCATCCTCGCGCCATACACTTGTAACGAACGACCACTCCAGAAACTGCAAAAACCAAACTTAATACCCAGGAAAAGAAAAGAAAAGAAGAGAAGAGAAAAAAGAAACACGCGAGGTTAGAATAGGCGTTGAATGCGATACATAGTATATACTTGTTTTCTCGTATTTATCGCTTCCTTCTTTCCTTCTTTCTTTCTTTCTTTCTTTCTTTCTTTTTTTCTTGCTTGCTTGTGATTGCTTATGCCGTGCCGTGCCGTGCCGTGCCGTGCCGTTGAACGGACAAGCAATGCATCTCTACAGAAGAAGAAGAAGAAGAAGAAGAAGAAGAAGAAGAAGAAGAAGAAGAAGAAGAAGAAGAAGAAAAGGTAAGACTGGGAGTTGGACACATATATTATGATGGGTTGAGTAGATGGAGTAATTCTTTCACAGATAGATGGACTGGCGGACTGCTATGAAGCTGAAGAGGGAGGAAAAAAAGGACGAATGAGTAAATGTTTTTGAGGTGGGAGAAGAGAAGAGGGATTCTGGAACGGACATGGAACGTGTTCCATGACAGTTCCATTACTTAGACTTTTTCTCGGTCGTGATGCTGAGATTCGGGGGGTTTTTTTCTCGCAGTAGGGCGAGTTGATGGAAGGGGAAAAATGGGCAAGATGATTGTAATCCCGCTGAAGTAGAGCCATACAATCATTGACAAGCACAAGCACGATTGGAAGAAAAGTAAAGAATGTGACGGTGGTCTATTGTCGATCGGATTGCCGATCCTCATCATACAGGCCAAGAATCTATGGAAACAAATAGCCACCAGGACGCCCACACAACTCCCTCCACGAGGGGCAAGTATGCATTCCAACCAATGCGTTATTACAATACCAAGTATTTATGATGTCCATCGAAATGCTGCTGCGACAGGAGATTTGCGCAAGGAAGCAAGGGCTCGTACCAGACACAACCGCCTTCTCAATCCTAGACTGAACCGTGATGCAGAGTTAAAGTCGTAACCCATGAAGCCATAGATGTTGTTCTCTGTGTTCCTCCTCTTTCCAAACTCAAGAATGAAATGACACTACTGCCACGGACAAGCCATGCCACAGCGATATCACTCAAGAGCGAACCACTTACAAGAAAGCAGCAACGGCACCAACGAGGGCCAAGAAGCCAACGCTGGCCTGGCTGGCAGCACCAGTGAACTGGGGAGGACCAGGCTTGGTGTGGGTGGGGGGAACACCAGTGCCGGCAGGAGGAGTGTAGACGGTGCCGTTGGCAGGGTAGTGGGGAGCGGGAGGAGGAACAGCGCTGTAAGCAGCAGGGGTGGAAGGAGTGGCAGCGGGAGGAGTGCTGACAACGTAGGTGGTGGTGTGGGGAGGGATGCTGAGAACAGTGCTGGAGGTGATGACGTAGGTGGTGTGGCCGTGGGTGACGGTAGTGGGGGTAGGGCAGTCGTAGGTGGTGGCGGAGACGACCTCGGTGGTGGTCTGGCAAGGAGTCGAGGTGGCAGGAGCAGGAGCAGAGGGTGAGGGCGAGCTGACGACGTAGGTCGTGGTGTGGGGAGGAAGGCTCAGCACGGTGCTGGAGGTGACGACGTAGGTGGTGTGGCCGTGGGTGACGGTAGTGGGGGTAGGGCAGTCGTAGGTGGTAGCAGAAACGACCTCAGTGGTGGTCTCGCAAGGAGTAGACGAGGCGGCAGCAGGAGAAGAGGGAGTGACCATGGGGTAGCCGGGAGCGGAAGAGGGAGACGGGGTTCCGACGACGTAACCAGCGGGAGACGAAGGAGTCGCAGCAGGGTAGCCGGGGGCCGAAGAGGGAGACTCGACAGGGACGGAGGTGGAGCATGGAGTCGACTCAGCAGCGGCAGGAACAGAGGAAGACGGGGTTCCGACGGCGTAACCAGCAGGGGACGAAGGAGTCGCAGCAGGGTAGCCGGGGGCCGAAGAAGGAGTCTCGGCACCGTAGTGAGGAGCAGCAACGGCAACGGCGGCGAAGCCAGCAAGGACGGCGAAGGAACGCATCTTGGTAGTGGGGGGTGGTATTAGAATACGGTTGGTATTAAGGTAGGGATGGAGGTCGTAGAGAACGAGTGTGGTCGGTGATAACCGGGTATTAGCGAAAGTAGTGAGTGTGTGGTGGTGAGAAAAAGACAAAAGGCAGTTTGGAAGACATTATATACAACCTATACACGAGCTGGCCTTACCAAGAATGCCCATGCCCCCATCCACAGGGGCACAGGCACATGGCTGCGTTTGTTTAGCATCGTAAAGGTTTTGGCGTGGCGCGGCGACGGCGCCGTCTGGTGGACAGTGCTTGGAACAGTACGGAATAGGGGAAGTTATGGCCATAGTCGACATTGGCCGCCGTTGTGAGTCGTTTATTGATGCTCGTCGCGGCGGGCGAATCAGCGCAGGGCTCGACGACATAAACGAAATGAGTTGGACAGCCTCCCCTGCAGACCGACTCGTGTCGTCTCACGATCTTGACGCTCGCTCTAACTGGTTTGGGCCCACCGTCGGTTAATGAGCGACTTGTGCACGCTGGATATGCTCAGTTGCCCACCCAGCACGCATGTCCGGAACTTTGTACTCCGCAGTTGGACGACGGCAGAGAAGCCGCCGACCAAACACACACATACAAGAGGGCGCCGCCACTATTGGGCGCATTGGCATAAGGCGGCTCGTCGGCGGATGCAGTTGCCTGTCGTGCCAAATTGTATGCGCTCCCGGCTCTTGGCTGCGTCGCTGAACACCTGAACAAAGCGAGCACTTTAGGGGGGTTTCCTCGTTGACAGATTGGCATGACAAGACCCATCAGGGCGGAGATTCTTTCGTGTCCATGTCCACATCTGGAGCCATGTCCCCGCGTCCGGGCAAAAATAGCCCCCTTGCCGATAGGAACAGACTCGACTTTGAGCCGTCCGCCAGCGTCCATGTCATTGGCCCTCGGAGAAAGTGGACCTGGGCGGGTTCCTGCATTGCTTCCACTCATTCTAGACCGGTGACTAAGGCCAACAAAGGGCCGACGGCCACATCGAGTGGCAGCAGCCTGTGGCTTTGTTGTCTTGTCGCTGGCGACTGTTGCTGCGCCCGACTTGAGGCGGGCGTGCAGCGAGGCGGGCGTCGACGGTGCCCGCTGGTCGAGGGAAGCTTCTGTGGCAGTTAAGCTCAGCCAAGTGAGGCCGGTTGACAGCTTGTTGACGGCGGCGTGGCCAGCAGCCAGGACGACCGTGCAATCTCGCGTTTGGAACCCTCGACGAGCAGCGCCGCATGCGCCTAGTGGGCGCTACGGTAGCAGTAAGATATCGCGCATTAATAAGGGCGGCACCTGCGTGGTTGCAGTTGCGGTGTTTACGGGAGCAGTCAATAAGCCACTCCATACGACAAGTTCCGGTGGCACTCGTGATGCTCATGTCGACGACAAATGAGCGCCGGGCGATTGGGGCCGACGGGAGCGTGTCGAGGGAGGGGGTGTGGATGAAGGCGAGGCGAGGCGAAGATGGGCAGAGTAGCGCTGCTGTGCTGGCGCAAGACGAAGGCCGACCCACGCGGGCGATGACTAGTCGGCCGCTGCTGCCCCGAGATGATGCCGGGCGGGTAGGAGCGACTGCCATCGCTTGCCATCGCTTGCCTTGCCTCGCCTTGCCTCGACCGCACCGCACCGCACTTCCACCTCTCCGCCGCCCTGCCTGACCGCCGCCGTCTTCGCACGCTGCCCTGCCTGGCCACCTCTTCCCATCTTGCTGGGACTCGTCCTGCTCTTCCTGCCCAAGAGCACGTACAGACACATGCGCGTCCACGCTACCACTTCACACTTCACACCGCCTGGCCCCACCATCACCCGTGTCCGGGCCGCCAAGAGCACTCCCACGCTGTAGCCTCACCGGATGCTCTCGTTGCTTCGGCTGTAGAATGCCAAAAGCTGCGGGCGCGGTGCCAAAGGGATGGCAGGGCCAGACCATCTATCTCCATGCGCCCTCATATTCCAAGCAGCTCGCCCATGACAAGCTCACGGCACTCGTATGCCCGAGATCTGCCCTGGGCCCGGATGTCCAGGTCTACAAGACCGTCGGACCCTACACCAATGTCAAGATCACCCCAGTCTCTGACCCTGCCCATCCAGCACATGGGCAGCACGCCCTCTGCGCTAACCAGCAGCTCTCGCCAGGCGCCTTTATCCTGCCCTACCTGGGCTATGTCCACGACCAGCACGACACCAACGAGACGTCGGATTACGATCTTTCGCTAGACCGCGAGTTGGGGATCGGCGTCGATGCTTCCAGCATGGGCAACGAAGCCCGCTTTATCAACGACTATCGAGGCGTGGCGGCCGCACCAAATGCCGAGTTTTGCGACATCCATGTGGATATTGGAAGCGGCAAAGTAGAAAAGAGAGTCGGTGTCTTTGTCCTTGGTGCTGGCAAAAGCGGAAAGAGAGCAAAGGGCATTCCCCGTGGACATGAGATCCTGGTCAGCTACGGTAAAGGCTTTTGGTCGGAGCGACAAGCGACTGGCGAGTGACGTTTATGATCAGCCATTCTGACGCGGTCGGCATCCCATCTTCTGTGAGTAAATGTGCGCCAGACATCCGCCGGCGCCTGCACCGTTAATCCGCCTATCGCTGGGAAGCAGCCTTGCTTGGCCTTGGACATGGAACAACCAGCGCAACTCTTGGACAGCCCAACGGCACGGGACATTGTCTTTGGACGGCAAGCATGCCATTGAACCCCAAAGGTATACGTACATTCACATTCGACGGCGCCGGGTATGGAAATCCGCTAGCGCTCACCAAGAGGACAAGCCACAGCAACCTGCCAAGATGTCGCTGCCAGGCTCCCTGCTTGCATCCGTCTGTACGACATAGACAGAGTGCTGGTACTGTATAGCTCCAACGTGGCGTTGCCGCATCACGTGCGTCTATCTGCTATAGAGCGAAGGATTTGGACCTGTCCAGACGCCTTGGGCGCACTATCTCCAAGCACGCTGATTTGCTCCCTGGGACGGTTGCAGCCCGCGATAGCCCACTCGGCAGCACGAATGCATTTTGAGGCTTGCACCGGGACGTCACCGCTAGCGTTAGTGGCAGGACAGCTGAGGCTGAGTCGTAATGTGGCGTCAAAACCTGATTTTCTGGGGCTGAGAATGAGAGGGCGGCCGCCATGTCTCAAGCCGTCTGACGAGCTGCACGCTGACAGTGACATGCCAGGGCGTTGTATGGCTTGCCCCAGGGATGCTCTGCGACACGAGCAAATTTTGGTTTCAGGCCGACGTCATCCATGGTAACGCATGGCATTCTTATCTTATGATGGAATTCTGATGGGGCGCAGAAAAACTGGCATGCAGACATGAGTCGCCCGCACACGCGCCAAGGGGGCGAGCGGCAGGCATTGTGCGCACCAGCACGCAGGTACAGCCAGTCATCACGATCTCTGCAGCAGCTTCTGGGTGGATTGGGCTGGGCATGATCGCGATTCTACCCCGAGGGTTGTACCTCTTCAGCGCCGGCAGTGACGTGATGTCGCTTCCACGCCCTCTCGCACGCTGCCGATCCGGGCCTCGGCCAATCACAGCGCGCACCTGCTCAACCCCTGTCTATCCCAACAAGGTCGCACCAAACGAGACTCTGTTGCCCGCAGTGCCAGCCTGAAAGACGGCCCCGGCCGTCGTGTGCTGTGGCCCAGACGAGACGTGCTGGATGCACGTCATGGCCGAATCCGGGCATGTGAATGCGCGGCCGCCTCCGTTGCAAGGCGGTTAAGTTGCGCGTGGTCCGCCATGCTTCAGGCGGCGTCTGTCCAACCATCTCTGCATCACCCCATCACCAACCGCTCTCGCCCGACGGTTTGCGCGTCCCTCGTCACAAAGCCTTCACTGCACCATTGCCCCTCCGACCATACTCCGCTTCGACCCACATTTCTGCGGCCCTCGCCGATCTCCCAGCACCCAACGCTCTTGGCATTGCCGACTGATACATATTTCTATCAGCACCCGGCATCCCCACTCAAGATCAAATCCAACCTTGCAAACCACCAACATGCCATACGATACAAACCCAGAAGACACCAGGGCTCCCGTGTCAAGGCCCACTCTGTGTCGGGTAAGTGGCTCGCAGTACTTGATCGAGCGACATGCTAACGTGCGGCCAGCACGAGTCGATGCAAAAGTATATGCTTCTCTCCGCCCAGAAGGAAGCCCTCCAACGCCGCATAGCCATGGAGATTCCCTTTAGCGCACCCATGGCGCCCAGCTCTCCCGAATTCCAGTCCCTCTCATCATCACCCACGTCTCCAAAGTCGTCCTCGCCGTATCCATCGGCGAGCGACCCAATCCCCGTCAGCTCCAGGACCAGCGGGACCCCGCGCAACAGCATGGACGATATGCACACGGAAGAGTCGCACAAGCTTGCCGAGATCAACCAGCAAATCGTCGCTACGCTTACCGAGCTCATGAACACGGATTGCATTCGCAACGACGAAAAGCAGCGTGCCTGGATCCAGGAGCGCCTCATGGAGGCTGAACACCAAATACGCCGCGAGCGCCGCCGCCATTCGTCTAATGCGAGCAGTGACTTTGCGTCGGCCATTGCGCAGCACCTCGAGCTTGGACTCCACACATCCAAGACGTGGGCCTAGGGTCCCGTCTTGACATGCCGACGTCTTTACGATTCGTTTCACAGCACATTACCTTTGACGATATCTGTTTACGTAATGACTGCTACGACTCCCCACGGCTTGTGCATGTTTTCCGGCGCAAAAGGTTCTGAAATGAAGTGCTCAAATCAGAGAAAATGATACCCTCGGTGCTGATGATGAGCACCCCGCGACGGAACTGCTAGGTTCTGAGTTTGACCCCTGTGTTTTTACTTGTCAAATTACAATCACTATATCAATATTTATCCTCGATGCCTTGATTTGTTGCCTTCTTACACGACCTGATGGACTGTGCGTATGAGTTGGTTTCGGCCCAAAATAACCTTTCTGCTAGGGGTTTTTAAATTTTCAATCCGTCCGCCGCGTCGTCGACTCTTTTGCCGCCTTCCAATCGGAGCTCGTGGCACTTTGCTTATGCAAACGACCCTGCATTCCACCAACTTCGGCCCATAATATTGTTTTTCCCAGGGTTCGCTGGCTCCGCACAAACCTTGACAATCTCACGTGCACGCAGCTGAACAACGACACAACCATGAGCTCAGGCTGCATATCTCTGCACATGATCCAATGCACTCTGTTCACAGACGCGGGGGCCTTTTTCTCACGCCCTTTTCACGCCCTCGATGCAAGGTTCTTCCCCGTTCCGCGGCGTAACAAAACTCTCTGGACCGCCTTGCCAAATCACGACGGAACCAGCCGCAGAAATAAGAAACGAGAGACGATAAGCAAATAAACCTAAACCGTCGATGCAACGCGTCGCCTCAAAACCCGCACTTTCAACCATCTCCTAAGGTACTGGTACAGGAAAAGGAAAAGACGTAACATGACGTCACGCATCCCACGACGACGCTCACATTCTCTCACCATGATCGCAACAGCAGTAATCAATGCGCTTTCTGGGACCGATGAGCAGATGCGTGCATCACTACACCTACCGATGCCCAGAAAAAAGAGGTGGTTTAGAAGGGGCAAAAACACCCCCCTACACACACCCTCTCGTTGCCATGCCGCATCCCAACAGAAACGCAGCAATCGAGGTTTTAGCCACTTGATCGCCCGTTACGGTTGCGTGATCGCCGCTTCTGCGTCGTGCAAGGTAGCCTGGAGGGCTTGCATATGTACGCCATTTACCCCTACCCTACCCTTACCTACATACCACCTACATACACATACGCCTTGCTTGCTTCGCCCCATGCTTCCCCTCACGTTGGGCTGCAGCTGTGGCTGGACGAAAGCCGCATGCGGGGAAACGCGTGGTTTTTTTTTCTTCGTTTTGGTCTCTGTCTGGATCGTTGGGTAGACCTTGCATATGCAATGCAGGGTCTACTGCGTTTTTTTTACGTGTGCGTGAGTAGCTATCCTCCTAGTACCACCACCACCAGCAAAGGGGGGGGGGGGGGCAAAGGCCTAAAAAGGGTTCTTGACATTGTGGCGTGCATGTGCGAGGAATGCCTGTCACTGTATGTGGGCTGACATCAGCTGAGAAAGGCGCGAGGTCATTGGTATGTGCGGACGCAAAACAGATGAGATGAGATGAGATGAGATGAGACGAAGAAAGAGAGAGAGAGAGAGAACAAGGACATGGACATGGACAGGGACAGGGACAGGGACAGGGACAGGGAGGGGTGGTATGAAGATTTCTCTCTTCGTGTTCTTTTTCTTCCCTTCTTCTTCCTCTTTTTTTTGGGGGGGAGGTTCCGCTTTGCGGGGATCTGCATGGAGTTCTACGTAGTAAGCCATGTTTGCATGTATACGTACAATACGTACGTACGTACAATACGTACGTACGTACGTACGTAAGTAAGTTATTTGCTGCTGTAATATGTATATGCTAGTTGGTACGGAGGTGCCTCACAAAAGTTTTGTCCTGCCAAGAATAATTTAGCCGAAATCTGGCCGCTCTCCTACACAACGCCTATCTCTCCCCTCTATATACTCATTACCACCTTGTAGCTCAATTATCTTTGGAATA